CTGGACCCTCAGAAATAAGCAAAATTTCGTATTGCCCCACACATATGAGGTGGCCTGGACCCTCAACAAAACGTAAACAAATGTTCTTGCCCCACAAATCTGGGGTGACTTTCTTTTTCGTGGATAGTTTGAGGGCTTGGCGAGCCCCCCGCCTTCGGCAGCTGCAGGGGCGCATCCCAGCGCTTGCCCTCCCTTGGAGGGTCCAGCTTTGCCACCTCTTCCCCATCCACTAGGACCTGCGGGCGGAAACTTGCGGAAGGCCTCGGAATATCCAATGCGCCACCCACCGAGTAACATGGAACCTGTTATTTGTGCCTTTAAAAGGAAAATGGCCCAGGACCATTTCCCGAACCTCCGCATCCATGTGAAAAGGGTAGGGCAACAAACCATTTTTTGGTTTGCACTCTCACACAACCCATGCAAAGGTTGGAACTCGCCAACCCGAATTTTGGAGCAATTCCGTGTTTTTTTCAGTTGGATTTGTGAGGAGCGATCCAGGTCGACGCATCGCCAGCCGCGATGTGTCGGCCTTCATCGAGTAGGGCCACTGGTTGGGACCTTCTGGTCCCGCCATCCGTAGCTCCAAGCCCTGGACGCATGGCAAGCGGCCGGGGGGGGGGGGGGGTTGGGAGGGGGAGCTGCGGGGGAGCTGGGGGTTGGGGGGGGGGGGGGGGGAGCTGGGTGGTGTGTGTTTGAAGCAAGAAGAAACCGCCTGAACCCTCAAACTCCCCAAAAAACGAGGGAATTCGCCAATCGCACTGTTCAAGGATAGGGAATTCACCCCATTGACCCATTGTTGAGGTGGAATTGCGGGGAACCGTCTGCGGGATTCTTGCTGATACGGACAGTGGCCGCACCCCACGTCCCTCCCAAACGGGTAGATCAAGTTGAAGTAATGCGTTCAGAATTCAAGTTATCTCATATTTGTGCAGTGTGAAGGTGCTCATCATTGGCAGCTAGGACAGTTTTACCTAGATTCTTAGTTTTGCTCATATTTGCAGGAAGGTGCTCATCATTGATAGTTGCGGCTTGATTTTTACCCTGGAACCTTGCCCATTTAGAGAAAATCAATGTAAGCGTGACCAAGAACATCAAGCCCCGGGCTCCTGTCAAGCCTAAAGCCTTCACATGACAGCCTTCTCTCAAGATTAAAAAAATAGCCAGCCGTTAAAAAGAACGGGGAATCAAACCCTGGAAAAATGGGTGTAATTACCTGGACTCTCAAAATTCCGACTTGACAATTGGCTGCCCATAGTTTCTGGGGTTAGTTCCCCTTTTTGATGCGCGCTTCCGCGCCCTCTTTCCTTAGCTTGCCCTAACCTGAGGATCCAAGACATGCGCTTCTTGCGAATCGCTTGTGGACCAAAGCAGCTTAGAACTGATGTTACCCTTGCTCTAAAAAATCCAACCTAGCCCACTGTTCGAGACGTGCTCAACGAGGCATCTCAGCGCCCATTTTTTCTGCGCCAACCTGGTTCACCCCTTGTTTCATGGACCATCCCGTTTTACGGGCAACCGGGTGGTGAACCGGGCTGTCGCAACCATGCGGCGCTCAGGGGGTAGTGGGATTTGTTCAAGGGTGGAATCCTGGGTGTGAAGTCGAAGAGCCGTGGTTTACACTTGGCAAAGCCTGGGCTCGACATTTTCCACCCCTCCCCCGCCTCAGGCCAAGTGGAGAACTCCAGCTCCGCAAAGGCGCCGGGGCCGCGGCCGCCGCCCGCCACCGCCTCCGAAGTCGCCGCCGGCGCCAGAGGCGTCACCGCCAGCACCGCGGCCACGGGGCGCAAGGGGTCCTGCGATTCAGGGTGTTGAGGGGATGTGTGGGGCGGGGGCGGGGGGGTTCTCAGGCCCCCTTTATCCCCCTTGTCAGGAGTTGAAACCAAAGGCAACCCCTTGACATCTTCAGAAACACCAACCTAAGGGCAAAAGGACAGACCGGTACTGTCTTGGTTGGCCAACTTGGTTGGCCAAGGGGGAGGGGGGGGTGGGGGCAAACCGCCAAGCCCATATTTTTTCTAGTTTTTCCAAAGCAAAATGGGCTGCCAGAAAAAGGGAAAGATCTCCAGTCGAATTCTCCCCTCTTCCAGGCCAGGGGAGAAGAATGGCTGGGGTTTTACCTGGCCCCCGGAAACGGTTCCTACCGCTGGCCAGATCCATCAGGTTTCCCGATAAAAAAACATCACCCACTCGCCGGCCGAAGGACCTGGGAATAAAAAGGTGATCAATCTTTGGGGTGGCCACGAAAAAAGGAAGCCCAAAAAGAGGGGAGACCAAAAGCTCGCGTCAGGTCGACTCGCTTTTGGGCAAGTGAGCCGCATTTCCCCTTTGAACATCCCAAGGAAACTCACCTGAAATTGTCCCAGGTGAGCAGGTGATGCGACCACCGAACCAAGCACCCCTGGGCGGAGAAGAAAGAAAAAGCAAAGAGAAAAAAACGAGACCCGACCAGCGACAATCCGCGGAATCCGCTCCATGTCCAGGAAGATGCACGCGCAGTCCCCCGAGCAGGCGCAAAGCTTCTGGCGTTTCCTGCCAGAAACTCCCCCCCTCCCAGTTCGAACATACCTGAACCCTCAAACTACCCGTCAAAACACAAGTGATTCGCAAATTCCATACATTTGGGTCGCAATAATTCCCATGCTCAAGTTGGAATGTTGAGGCTCCAGGTATTATGTTTACAAAAACAATGTTGAAACAGACCCCTCCCGGCTTTACTTTTGCCAGGGTCTGGTTGCTAGAACAACTTTTGCAAGCAACCCTTGGCCTCGGGCGCGAGGCCAAGGATTTGCTCAAACAGGCTCAGTTCAACCTGGACCCCCAAACAAATTGCCATAAAACAAGTGGGAATCCACCACTTTCATCATTGTGGGTTGCAACAATGCCCGCTTTTAAGGCTGGGATTGGTGAGGGTTGAGGGACAGACTCAGTTCGAAAGATATGGCTGTGGCTCAAAAAACCGGTACCAAAATGGGTTGCCCTGGTAAGTGGAAACATGGACCAAAACCTGCAGTTTGCCCCTCCTACTTAATTTTGAGCCACACCTATATGGAAGGCAGGGATTTGTTGCAACCCCCGCCAAGAATCAGCGCCAGAAGTGCCCAAGTGCCCTTGGACTGGTTGGTTACCACTCCCTTTTGGGTATGTCTTAGGTGGCCCCCTAAAATGGTTGGTTTCCTTTGACTCAGTTCAAAAGATATATACATATATACCCTTCCTCCAACTAACATGGCACCTGTGGGAGGTACCTGGAGGATGAATTTCCTTTTGAAGGGACCCCCTGTCAGTTGCCATGGTGGGAAGGAGGGTGTATATATATATATATACTTGGTTGCTTTCTGCTCCCCTGCTAAAAGTTTAACTTTCAGTGGTTTAACGGAAAACCCATGAGTTGGCAAAAAGTTTAAAGTTCTAACATCCCTTGGCAAAATGAACCAACGTATATATATATATATGTATGTTCAAAGGGTACCGAGGTCCGGCTCGAGCCGACGCCAGCCCTGGCTTCCTCTGATCGCGCCGCTGGGGCGTGGCCACGGGGCGCGGCAAAAGCCGCCGGCGCTTGCGAAAGTGGGCCATGGCAGGGGCATCGGCGTGCGGTTTGGTTTTCCCCCGACTGATCAGGGATCCTTACAAGATAACACCTGAACCTTGCAACTCGTAAATGGCGGCTTCCAACTTAATTTCGGTGTTGAAAAAGCCACATGGTTCAACTGGGTTGCAACATGAATTTCTTAGGAGCCCTGATAGGCCCAGCTCTGGGTGGAGCTGAAAGCTACGGGGTTGGGAGGCCCAAATGGGTGTGGGTCAAAATTAAACCACCCGGCTATGGACCGCAGGTTTTGGTCCATGCCTCCATTTCCCAGGATTCCATTTTGGGCACCTCAGAAAAGGCCCACAACCAGATAAGCTCTGGGTGCTTTGGCTTTCAGGGAGGGGTTTCCGAGGGTTCAGGACGTTCCGGGGCTGTTGGGATAGCACCCGGGCATTTGGTTTAGAGGTGTGGGACCCTTTTCACCATGGTATTTCAATGGACACAAAGAAGCTGCGGCTGTACTTGCAGCTGACTGTCACGCAGGAAATGTGGCCGTATAGTGATTACCGGGGCACAGTTCATGGAGCAAAGGAGCTAAGTCAAGGGGAACGAAACACACTGACACTCAGCAAACCTGTTCAACTGGAGGTCCTCAAATATACATTCATGTATGTGTATAATGTATATATATATATATATATATGCAGATTGACAACAAAGACGTATATGCACTTTGAGGCGTGTGCGGATACAAGTTGAGTTCGCTCGGTTTTGGTTACCAAGTTGAGATGCTTGGGCTTGAAGCCTGACACCATCCTTGGTTCCCCCCAGTGCCATGCATTTTTCCTCATTGGGCCTGAGCTTCGGGCGTTGCGAGGCGCGGAAAGCTCGCATGTGTCATGCGCAGCACAAGTTGAGTTCCATGAAGTGCCCATTTGCATGACACGCACATGACTCTGACAAGGCTGATTGCAAAAGAACCTGAGACCTGAAAAACTGGGCAAAAGGGTGTTGGTAACATTTAGGGAACTCCAGTGCATACCCTAGTTGATCGTTTTATTTTTCCAGGCACACCCTTCATATACTCAGTTGAGAAGCCTCTTCTTGGGATTTGCCCGATACGCCGCTTAGGGGGTGTTGACGTGACTCGCTTACTTGCCCGTCGCCTTTTGGCACCTGGACCAAATATGGACCAAGGGGAGGATTACCTTTGGGCAACTGAGGGAACCCCCAAAATGAGTTCCTTTTCAAGTGTTTTTCCTTCGGCGACCCGCAGAAGTTGCGGTTTTCCTCTTGGACCCCTTTTGAAACCACAAGAAAAGGGTAACTACCCTCAGAGAAAACGGAACGGTCATCGATCTCTCATATACGCTCAAAAAAACACCCCCCAAAAAAACACCCCCCAAAAAACACACGCCCTTTCAAACACCTCCCAGTCTTCTCGCACGTTTGGCAGCGCAATCCGCGCCTTCTTGGCTTGGGACTCGTTGGTGCAGAAGCCCTGGCGCTGTCGGCTTTCGCTTCGCTTCGGGTTTCACCACACGAGCTTGACAATCTGCGATGCAAGTCGCAGCAATGCGGTTGTTTTGCTGGCTCGCCCGTGTCTCTCAGATGTTGACCCCATATTGATCAACCTCAGTTTACTGATAGGGGGGTGTCCACTTCTGGGTTTAGTGGGGAATCAGCCCACTGTTGGCGGGGAGCACCGAAATTTTATCAATAAACTGGGTTGATTAATATGGGGGGCGAGACACGTCTCACCCCAGCAACTCTGGGCACGGGCTTTGCAAAAAGCTAAAAGCTGGCGCTGCTTTTCGTGGAGCGCCAAAAAATGACCCCGCAAAAAACAAGACACACACACACACACACACACACTTGAGCCAAGGACTCTGTTGTTTTTGGGCCCCCCTGGCTGAAAATGAAGAGAACCAAAACACCGGAAAACAATGGTGAAACAACTCGATCCAAGCACTGTGAAGAAAGACTTTTCAGCCATGGGAAAGCACCACAGACTCACTTCCGAACGATGGTCGAAACCCCCGTATCTTTTGTCATTCCTCCTCTAAAAAAAAAAACGTCACCATGGTTCCCACCCCCCAACAAAAACAAATAATGACAATAATACTAATAATAATAATACTAATAATAATAATAAACATGTATATATATATATATAATTGTAAAAAATAACCAAGGTACACAAATGGTGGTGTCCTTTGTCCAGCTTCCCTTTAAAACCAACCAACAGAGGGTTCCCCCAAAAGAAAAATCATACCACGAAAAGACAGAAAAAATATGGCCATGGGAAAACACATAGTGGTTCCTGTCTCAAACAGGCCAAATTCGGATGCCCAAAATGGGAATTCGGGTGTTCAACTTGTGATTTCCGGCCAAGAAAAATGGGAAATGATTCGGGAAATCCGTGTTGCACCATATGTTTCCATGATGTCCCCCCCCAAAAAAAATCGGCGCCCTCAACAAGACACAAACCCGGTTTTTGGCCAAATCATGGATTGTTCTCCGAAATTCTAGACACGGGGATGAAGTCCTTTTTGAGGCGAACCAAAACAGGAAAGCCAGCAAACAAGTACATGTTTCAAAAGCTGAGGACACCCTTTTTGATGCAACAAAAAAGAGCGGCAAAAACAAATGTAGCAAAATTAAAGCTGGCAGTCTGTTTCTGTTGCCGGGGGCGAGTTTCTGCTGTTTGTGGTTGATAATTCATCATGTGGAGAGTTGTGACGTGTTGTGACTGCTAGGAGCCTTTAACTGACTGTTCCAAGACCCCAAACAAGAAAGGTCAACTTATTCAGTTGAGTATTTCAAGAAACTATCCCCTGAGCCCACCCCCCCACAAAAGCAAACAAGAAACAAACCAAGCAACTCAGGCAAACAACTCGGCAAGCTAACCAACATGATTCCCCTTTCAAATGTTGAAAAGTTGGCCAAGCCCCAAACAACTACCAGCAACACAAACTGCGCCCTAGGTGAACCTCCTTACAATGACAACGGTGATGGTTTCCTTCATACCCTGAAAATGCTTGTCCAAAATCTTCTTTAAGCGGTCCATGCCTACCAATCACGAAGTGAAAGGGTGCTTTGACCATGGCAAAAGCTGACACCACCAAAAGAGCATGGGCCCATCATGCACACGCGAGCCCTGTCCTGATTGCAACCCGGGATCTTCATGAACCTCGGGTTGAGGGATGCGCAAAAGGGGTGCAAACAGGCGCAGTTTGACATGCAAACCCAAATTCCGTATGCCAATAAAACGAACACATCCTGAAAAAAAACAAAAAACAAGTGATATAGCTTTGGAACCCTTCGGAACGCTCCCTGAAACTTGCCTCAAACCACCCCGCAGCCTATCTGAGCGAAGACCCCATAGTTTTCTGCTGTTGGGGAATAAAAATCAAACAAGCTTCAGGTTTCAATTGCTGCAGCCACCCTGTAGTCTGAGGCGTCAACTCATCGAAGTCATAGGCTTTGTTGTCTGGACAGCAAGACCTCGACACGGAAACTGAGCAATGTGGCTCCAACATCACACAAGTCCCATGCCAACAGATTTGACGAGCCGCCAACCGCACAGTGCCTCCTTCTTCAACCAATACCGAGTGACCTACAACCCTCCGTTTGCTTTGCTCCTCTGGAAAAATATGAGAAACAAATTCCAATCGTGAATTTCGATTCCCTTTGAGGCTAACCAAAAACAACAAAGTAATATTTTATTCCAGTGAAATCGACTCCCTTTAAGGCCACCAGGGGAAAACGGAATAATATTCATTTCAACCCATGGCGCTGCGCGCCACGTTTGACGTCTACCGCTCTCTCGCGGGGCTCCGGGCCACCATTTTGCGGTCTCGTGAAAGATGGGCGCAGACTGCGTGCGGAATCAAACAGGGCGCGGCCTTTTTTTTTTGTCAGGTGCCACGGCAACGTGGGAGAGAGGGTACATGAACCAACATAAACGAACCAACATAGATAGATCAACTTGGGCTGCTCTCAGATCCCCCGCGAAAAGTTTAACGCTCAGTGGGTCAAATGGAAACTGCCACTAAACACTGAAAGGCCAAAAAGCTAAGGAACCGGATGGCCTTCGGGAGCTACCTAATTTCTTTGTTCCTTGCCAAGGGTCAGTCCACGGACGAGGCCGGGCCAAGGGGGCCCGAAACACTCAGGGCATCAAGGGCTTGCCTGAAAACAATGCACATGATGTGCCTTAGTAAAGCGGCGAACAATCACTTTCTGATATTCTATCGCCTTGTTTGTTGTGGGTAAGGGTCCGGGTAATTACATTGTGTGACTGACAGCTTTGATCATGCGACTTCAATGCTGGGTCTCCGACTCCGAAACTGGGACATTGCAAACATGACCCTGCGGAGAACTTACAAGACCTCACGTAATCCACAACACATTCAATCTAATTGGGTTTAGACACAATTGTTGAACCAACTTAGATTCAACGTGATGCGGATTAGGGTAATTGTGCCAACGGCAAACAAATGTCAATGAGGCACGTTCCATGGGGCTGTTTGTTGGGATCCACGCGAAACAACCAACGTCAAACTGACGGAACCGCTGTGATTTGGGCGCGAGCTTAAAGAAAGCGGGTCCAGAAAAATCGAATAACAAGTACCATCCTTTTTGGCGTCCTTTGTGGGTATTTGCCATCCCTTCCAAGTCATTTCGTTTCTGCAGCAACATGGCCATTGCCGTGCCTTGTGGTGCTGGCACTCTTGTGGTGGCCTCGCGACAAAGAGCCAGCGTTTGCATCCAACCGTCCACAACCCTGAAGAAAATGAGCCGTGCAGCAAACATGATGATTTCAGATTGTGTCTTTCCCGATTTGACGTGAAAAACAACATGCCCGTCCCAGTTTGACATGCATGCATGCATTTCACAATTTGTTGGGAGTCCCAGTATATTCTTCTAAACTTGGAATGGAAAACGTGCTTGGAGTCCGATCATGTTCCTCCCAACTTGACATGGACAATTTGTTGGGAGTCCAAGTGTGTCCTTCCCAACTTGACACCAGTTGATCACCCATGAACAGAACACCGGATTCTGTTTTTGATTTGCGGTGCCGTTTAAACGGAAAGGGACGCATGTTCACCCGCAATTTGGAGGTATGGGTCAAGATTCAACCATGCGGGCACCACAGTTACCTGGTCAGCTGGCTGAGTGGATGGCCCAAAAAAAAACAAATTTTATACTTACCACTAAAAAGTCTTCCCCAAAAAATTAAAGTTCATGAACTCAGGAAGTGAGAGCTAGAATAGCCCTTTTGTACCAGGGCCACCCATGTTGGGGTTGCCCTGGTTTTGACCCAGCGACATGGAACCTTTGGTTTTGACCCAACAGCTAAGGGAAACGCCCAGGGGCCCGGCCCGTCGGGATCAAACATCTTCTGGCAGCCGAAGTTCTTACACCTCCGCAGGGTCCGCTGCGCTCAACCGGCGGCGCCGGTTCACAAAACGGAGAGAGAGACCTGGACACTCAAAACGGAAGAATTTTGGGGAATTTACCGGACATTTTTTGGGGAATTTGTGGCAGCCCGAAAAAAATCGGATCTCATGGGTAGCTTGAAGGTCCAGGTGGACTCGACGGCAGGGCCCCGTTTGACACTCGTCATATGTTGTGAGACAGCCGCATGGGGTTCAGGGTAAAGCAGTTCCACACAGGTCGCAGATGCACGCAGTGAGAGCCCACGGCCAGGGCCTCATTTTTCCATCTTTATCTTTCTCCTTCGCCACCTGGCGGACAAATTAACAGCCGCCCTGCCCCCCCCCCAAGCTAAGCTGACCCCATCATTGGCCCTCACAATGTGCCGCACATTTACTGAATGCCGCATGCATCACACAAAGGCCAGCCTTGCTTTCCACTGGCTGCACTGGAGCGGAATAGCCCTGGACAGGTTTGAAAACAGGTTGCGCGCTCCTCTGCATTTGACCCTCTTCTTCCTGGAACTTTGGGTTCCGAATCAATGGCTGGCCCTTTTCAGCCTTTTGGAAAAATAGATGGGTGTCCCTGGTAAATGTGGCATAAAACCCATTGAAACCAGTGCCATCCATGGACACCTATACTCCTATGAATCACAGAGGTGTCTTTTTGCAAAAATGGATGGCACTGGTAAATGAATAGAACCAAAGGAAACCAGTGCCAGCGACTCTCATTCGAGCTGACCTGAAAAGCACAGCTAGGCCTCCGCAAAATTGGAAGCACACGCAGCCGTTCCACGACTTGCCTGCACTGGTTTCGCAGGTGGCCCCTCCGAGTTCTTGCCGAGCAAGTAGCACTCATCGCCACTCCTGGGTTTCACGCTGCTGGAAAAGGGAAGCTCCGTTTTTTGAGGGCACCCTTTTTGCAGTAGTGGAGTCTCCGTTTTTTGAGGGCACCCTTTTTTGCAGTTGACCCAAATGAAGCAGAGAGGAGTGAGAAACAAGGGTTGGAGCTCTAAGCTGCAATCAAGGACTATCGTGAGCATGGGATGCAATTCCGGCCCACGCAGAAAGCTCCGGCCAAGAATCGGTTTCTGCACAACAATGCTTTTGGGCCAGACTTAGACTCTTAGACCCAAGCTGCTTAGCAGCGAAAATGTGATTGACACCCAAAAGGGTCAAAACTGGCACAAAACACCCACAAAAACGCAATCCCCCCCACTCCCTTCGACCAAGATTCATGTTTTGCTTGGAATGAGGAGAGGTGTTTTTCTTTTTCCTCCCGGGCGGGAAGAATTTCTTCCCGGGCGCCCTACTCGTCGCAGCCCGGTCTCAGCCCGGCGCGTCAAGGACTCCCGTACTCTTTCCTCGTTGTCCAGGTGGACTCCGCCTACCTGCGGCTTGGCACTTTGGGTTGGCCGAATGGGAGATACCTGGCGTCTCTCCTTCTGACCCTTCAAAAAATATTGGTTGACGTTGGGTTTAGGGAGCAACCAAAAAAACAACATTTTAGCAGTTCAGTGGGGATTTCAACCACTAAACCACAACCAACAAAAAAGTAAGATGTGTTCCAACAACAACCATGGAATAGGGTCATGACCCGGGCATTTTGGGCAACCCCGCTGTTTATGGGTCGGAAGGAGAACGCTGGGTACAAGTGGCGCAGGAGTTCGGCCATCCACAGTAAGACGACTCCGGACCGCCCTAGGTAAGTGGTTGATATCCTCATTAAGCCATGCGTGGGTTCTGAGGGTGTCCCACGAAAACTTGCTAACTTGGGATATCAACCCAGGTAAGTAGTTTTGTCTGCACACTCACTCAGGGCGCGCCCACTCCAGCTGTGCTTCCGTGTTATGTAAGAAGGTAGTTGATATCCACATTAGGTCGTGCGTGGGTTCCGCGCGTAAATCCAGCGGGGACTTCGGGTCTTCCAAGTATCTGAGGCCCGCGCAATCTTCAGATGCAGATCCTCCACAGAGATGGGACTCGCCCCATTCTTCCTCGGCCGGCGCAACTGAAAATCTCATGGCCCTTAAGGCCAGCGACGAAGGATCTAAGCCCAGGTCTTGTTGTAGTGGTCCACAAAGAGCTTGACAATCTGCCATGCAAGTCGCAGCAATGCTGTTGTTTTGCTGGCTCGCCCGTGTCTCTCAGACATAATGTTGATCAACCCCAGGTTATTAACAGGGCGTCCCTGGGTTTAGTGGTGAATCATCACTTTTGGACTTTTGGAGCTTAATAAACTGGGGTTGATTCATATGCGGTCAACTTTGCCTCCTTGATCAATGCCAAAATCTGACTGAACCCGAAAGATCATTCCGAGGATTGCTCGCTCGTCATTTTTCTGCAGGCTCTACAGTTCGCACCAGGCTGGCCTCTCTGTTGGTGCCATTTACGTACTTTGCCGGCAGGGTGAGCCGAAGCGTCATGTGAAGGTCCTGCCAGCCATCCCCCTATCCCCCTGCCACGGTTTTTTCTCACTCGCCCAGAGGACCTCGAAGTAGACGTGTCAGGTCGACCTTTTGGCAGGGCATTGAAAAGGACAAACGCACGACGGCTGACTAAGATGTTGGAGCTGGAATGAATACGGATCCTTTGAACACATCAATTCCACAGAGGTGGCGTGTCCACCAACCATTTTCAGCGACGTTGAGTTCTTGAAACACGACTAAAATGGGACATTCCCCCATCTATCAACCATGGGTTGGTTAATTCGCCGGCAGCTCTGTTTTCCTTTTTCAACCCAGCCTCTTTCATTTGCCCAGAACACGCAACAGCGAGGTCAAGAAAAGGGGAAAAACTCGAAAAACCGGGTTTCGAAAAACTCATTGTGAGGACCGGAAATAGAAAGGCGATCGCCTGTCGGAACTTTGACGAATGCGCCATATCAGGGAAACCAAGAGCCTGGGTCCTCAAAATTCCAACTTAAAAACAGGCCAGACTTAGCAAGCCAAAGTGGTGGACATACCCCTTAAAACTCCAAGCCCTGGGGAAGTTAATCTTTTACAGACATATAGCCCATGTTACCCAAAAAGTGGAAAAGTTGTGTTTTTAAGAGGTAAGTTTTGGTCCATGCTTCCATTTACCAGGCGGCTAGTTCTTTAAAGGGTTCAGGTCCTTTCGGTCGGTCGATTCGTTGAGTAAATCAAACGCGTCTGTCCTCCGTGGAGGCTTCCTCGAGCCGGGCGTTGGCGCTGGGGTTCGGGGGGAGGGGATGGGGTGTTCAAGGGGGCTAAGGGTTGGGCGTTCAAGGGGAGGTGTTCAAGTGAAAGATGCCAGGATGCAAAAGGCCATGGGAACCACCTCTACTTGGCTATTGTAAGAGGACACCTCTGCAATGAGAGTGTTTTTTACTTTGGTGGGTCCAATGGAAAATCCAGTGTTCCCAAGAGGTTAAAGTTCAAAGATCCAACAAAACTAATGTTGACCCTGTATTAATCCTCCCCCCCTATTAGTCCGGTCCGGCTGACCCCCCCCAATACTAAACAATTCATATCTCAGAAAAACCCCCCAAATATAAAATGATGCAAAAAAAACAATTAGACCGGTGCCTCCCCCAGGTCTCATTTTCTCCACTGCTTCTTGAGCTCATTTCTTAGAAATGGCTGAAAATGTCATCCATATTGAAACTCACATGCTTGCAATTCACAGCATGTACTCTGCACATATGCTTCTTCCTAATCTCTTGCCTTCCCTCAAAAGGAAGCCCCAGCAATACTAAATCAAATGGAAACTCAATTCCAGATCTCAAAATTGAAGCCCCAGCAATACTAAATCAAATGGAAACTCAATTCCAGATCTCAAAAGGAAGCCCCAGCAATACTAAATCAAATGGAAACTCAATTCCAGATCTCAAAAGGAAGCCCCAGCAATACTAAATCAAATGGAAACTCAATTCCAGATCTCAAAAGGAAGCCCCAGCAATACTAAATCAAATGGAAACTCAATTCCAGATCTCAAAAGGGAGCTCCAGCAATACTAAACAAATGGAAACTCAACTCCAGATTATTTAGGGCGGGTGGCAAAAAATATTCCCCCCCAAAACTTTCCCGACCTTCGAGGGGGGGGGGTTACATACTAATACGGGGTCAACATTACCGTACACGTTTATTACAAAGTGGATGGCCAACTAGAGTCCTTTCAGTAAGAGAGTGGGCCGCGCCCGCAACAGGAAAAAGCTTAGGACACTGCTTCTGGGCAACTGGTCCTTCTCATGCCCAAAGCAGGTTTTCCATGTCATGACATCTTCACTGGGAAGTTCATTCTGAACCCCGACCACAGGCTGCAACCCGTGTACCTCAACTTCAACAGACCTGGGCAAGCGTGGGGCAGATTTCAGCCGAACTGCACCCAGTGCTACTTGGATGGTCGTTTCGCCAAGTTAGTCAGTGGAAAAAGCCACCTGGGTTGGCCACCCCCCTAACAAGGTTACCTGCACATTCACAGGGGGCTTATAAGTGTTTGATACACGAATTTACCAAACAACTTAACTAGGTCCTCCCGTAGGGAGTTTAGAATGGGGGTACCAACCTTTTTCTGTAGTCTATCTGAGTAGGGGAACCCTCCCAACCAAAAAAGGGGTGAGACAGGATCTAGCTAGGGGAGCTAGTGAACCCACCCAGCGCTACCCACCCCGGTCCTCATACTTCAGAGTGACCTTCATCCGGGCGCCTCAGGCGACTTCACGGGCACAGGCCCTAAAATGATAGCTGTCCTCACCGCCGTAAACAAACCTGAAAAGGTTCAGCTTCCACCGTATTAGTGTTTTGGTGTGGTGTAGCAAATTTCTAATTTGATTCTCTACAAGAACCAGGGCTTCAAACTTGGTGATGGCTCAGTAAATGAGATCTGGATTGCTTTGTTTTAGAGCAACTTCCGCAAATGCGGTAAATATCAGCTTCCCCCTAATTGGTGGCTTGGTGATTTGCACCCCTGGTTCTTGTAGACTGCCAATGGGAGGGAAATCACCACCTAACCTCCAAACCGCCAATCCGAACCACCAATTCGGGCGAAGCCGACAAACGCTGTAGACGCCGTGTAAATAATTTCCTTCAGGTCCCCTGGAAAAATATTTCCAGTAGTGATAGTTTCCCTTTAAAACCCACAAAGGGAACATATCGTATTGTCAAGGCGAGTGGAAGTAATACTAAGCAACTGCCTCTGAGCCCTGCACAGGCCGCGCAGGCCCCCCGCCCGGGGCCCCAAAACTCGGCTGCGGAGCGCGGGCACCCCGGTCAGTGCTTGTTGTTTTTGGTGTCCCTTCAAGTCACTTGGTGGATGGGCCTTCACAAGTATGAAGGTCCACTGGGGTGGCCCTTGGAAGGCTTTCTTGCACAGGTCACCTCGCTTGCAGGAGCATCCTATCGTAGTTCACTGTACGCTCTAGGGGTACCTTCCCCATTCTTTCCAGGGCTCACGAGGGCGCATCACGCTTCTTTTTCCGCGCCTCGCCCTGTGCTGTAGCGTGGGCGGGTGAAGGGGCATTCCCCACTTCGTTAAAGTCTTGGATGGCACTGAGCCCAGCATTCAGGCAAGCAGGTCTGGTCGGAAACAGGCGGCAAAGGTGGTTAGCTAACGTGATTGCCGTCACATATGCATTTTCGTGCTGCCGGAAAAAACGCACCGCTTGCCATCAAAAACTGGGCACAAGCCTTCCACCTCAATATCCCGCAAAGTGCTTGCAGCCTTGAAAGATCAAACTTTGATTTCGACTTGCCGGCCCAAGGGCCACATCAAGGTACAAACTTGCAGAGACATCCGACACGGTTGTGCTATCAGCTTCTCAGGGTTGCTCCGAGCCAACACATGATCAACGGGGTAGAACCGGGTAGAAAGTTGGAGGGTTTTCGCCGGATTTGGCCCCTCCAAAGGTGGTCTGATTCCAACCACATTTCACCCAGGGAGAAGCAGCCCCCTACTAAGAAACTATAAGAAACTGGGGTTGATTATATGGGGCCACATTGGGGTCCAAATTAGGGTTCCCCTCCAAAAGTGCTGATTCCCCACCACCCCCCCCCCCCAAAAAAAACAAAAAACTAAACACCTAGTCATAAACAGGTTGGTTGATCTATATGGGGGTCCACATTTATTTTTCTACCAACTGGTGCGGCTCAAGTCGGAGCAACCCCAGCTATCCTCAGCCCCCCCGCCGGCGGTACCGCGCCGGGATCGCCCCGGGCCGACGCCGCGCCGCGTTCGCCGCCCCCTCCGCCCCCGCCGCGTTTTCCGCGCCGCCCGCAGCGGACGCCGGGCGCCAGGCGGCGGGGAAAGCGGCGGTCTGCAGGGTCATTTCCCGATTGCATGTTTCAACGCCTCTTCCAAACAAAAAGACACTAAAGCCCTTGACGACTGGGCTTACCCAGGGTCCATCTCTTGATTTATCCTGTTGGAGTTTCCACTAAAAAAAGTAAGAAACCCCAGAACGTGTAACGTCCAGGACCTCGGGTGAGCTTCTGTTTAAACACCCTTTTCATCTTGGTCGGTCCTTCCCGCGTTTCGAGAACCCCAACGGCCTCAGGCGCTTCCAAGGTGCCGTGGAAGACTGCCGCCGCCAGCTGGCGCAAAGGCGGCAGCGGCTGCGCCTGGCTTTGCAGGTTTGGCGCCAACGTCATCGTGGACCCAAGGTCATGTTGGCAAAGGGATATACCATTCATGCCGCAGTTTCGGAGCACTCGGGCATTGAAGTCGCATGATCAAAGTTGTCAGGAACGGAATGTACCTGAACCCTCGAACCACCCAAAAAATATATAAAAAATCACCAACCATGTTTGTGGGGCAACCACCCTTTTTTAAGTCGGAATTGTGAGGGTTCAGGTCGGGGGGACTATCCCTGGATTCGGATAAGCCAAGGACTGGTGCTTAATAAGGCCGAATTAAGGGGTCAAGAAGGGATAGCCCCCCCCCCCTCCCCATAGCTCCTCTTAGGAGTTTATGACTTTAGGCGCCAATCGAAAAAGCAAGTTTCACCAAGGTGGAAGTAGATGGCACAACTGCTGTGGGGGCATGGGTGAATTCGTGACATTTACTTACTTTCACCGAACTGCAGGCAGTTCTTGCCCTGAAAGTCCAACATCGGTGTTTAACACTGCCTTACGTTGTAGAAAAGGTGTTCTAGGGCGACGTGTTGATTGTTGAAAGCTTGTTTTAAGAACACAACTGCTATTCAGGTAGCGGCACTTGCTATCCCGTGTAACTTCTTGAGTTCGGCTCAGCCGCTCATGACATAAAACAACTGACAGATCACTCTTTGACCTTCAACCACATTGCTGAATGCCAACATAATGCATATATATATATATACGCTCAATACAATGTGCTTTTGCCTTGGCTGACTATTGTACTTTCCCAGTTGCTCAGTGCAATGCCGTCCAAATAGCCGAGTTCAAAGGTCTGCGCAAACGGTGCCAATTGCCTTGCAAACCTTGGTGTTCTAAAGCAAGCATATGCTTGAACGCTTTACTCGCAGCGCTAAACTGCACCAACACCCTCAATGTCATAACCACAACGAGCGTGTTCAGGCCAAAGATCCCCTGTTATCTGGCAGGCATGGCGTGAAAAGACTGCCATTCTGCACAACATGGCCGTTGCTGTCGAAAAATCAGCCTCAACTTGCTGGGTAAGTTGGATTATGTTGGATTGGTTTGGAGGTTGGGTGGCGGTTTCCCATTTTCAGTCTACGAGAACCAGGGTTCAAATCCAAATCCAATCCAAACCACCAACTAAGGCTCACCTGAAAAAAAAGCTGGTTCCTACAAAACCATGTCTAAAAAATGGACCGAAGACCAAACCCAGAAACCGCCTGCAGCGCCCTCTTGGCGTCCTCCTTGGCGTCCGCTGCGTCCATGGCTAAGAAGTTGCCCACGGCCCAATTCAGCCGCGGATGCTCCGGGCATCGATGCAGCGCCTCAAGGGCAAAAACACGGCAACTTGGGGAAGACTAATATGGGCGTGTCTTGTTTTACGGGACCTCCCCCCAAAAAAAAACAAAAACGGAAAGAATGAATGAAAGAAAGACATAATAAAAAAAACAAAGAAACAAAGAAACAAAGAAAGTGGTTTTCCTTTTGGATCCCTTTTACAACCCAGTCATAAAACCAAAAGGGCGGCCCCCAATCGAAAGAAACGCCCACACGCAACTGGAGGTGTTGCGACGGGGGGGGGGGGGGGAGGGGGGAGTGTTTGGGGTGGTGGTATGATAAGAAAAGTGTTACTTTCCAAGCCGCGGTTTGAAGTATTGCTTAAGCCACTACCGCGGCAACCTCATCTGGTTTGCCTTCAAAGGAGTGAACAAGTATGGGTGTGTCAAAAGAGGGGGACCGAACCAATTGCATCTAACAACCATTACTGTTCAACAATATGCTTTTAGTTCCCTTTCATGTTGGCTCTGGATGAATCAGCCCTCTAAAAGGGGACACCCTCCTTTGAATTCACCAGTGGTTTGTGAAGCCTGGTTTGTGGATATCAGCCGATTTTATTATGTTGGTCCGACATGGTCCAACTTCTTTTTTGGATTACAGCCCTGATTTTGGGACGAAAGACCGTTTAAACATCTCAGCCAATTTTTTAGACCACTTCTTTCGGGCGGCGAACTCAAAGGGAAGGGTCCAGGGTCCAGGGTCCGTCTTATTTGCTCCTCTAAAGGCCTTGGCCATAAAAAGGGGCCAGGAGTTTGGTTGCATGGTGAACTCACATTTCCCCCCCATACTCATGGCTTAAGTTGGCTTGAGTACCCCGCAACCCCATTCTGATCCTTCAGAACGTATGCGGCCAAAATAACTTCCTTGATGGTGGTCTAAATGCGAAATCCAACGTCCCAACTGCGGCTAGCAAAAAATCCTACAACTGTCCACGGTTTTGATCTGCTCATCTTAATTGGTGGAATTCCTGCAAGTTAACTTGTTGGATTTGGATTTGAACCATTCTGTAGTGGCAAACTAACAGGTTGGGTTTTTTTGGGTGGTGTCCTTTCACATCATCCAAAACGCGTATCCTCCCAAAAAGGACACATCAGCCGACATTGGTTTGGAGTTACATAGTGGCTATAGTGAGTAACAATCATACCCAATACAGTCAGCACACATCGTGTGAGTTTTGGTGTCTGCAAATCGGTGGGCCCACAATTGGGGCTTGTGCTGTCTCATTTCACACTTGCTGCATGGTAGCCCCCCCAAACACCCCTCCCGCCCCAAACACCCCTGTTGGAAAAAAATGAAATAGACCACTTCTGCTTGCTGGAATCAGGACCTCAGCAAAAAATATATTTTTTGCCTAGTTAGTGGAAAACAAAGGGACCCCCAAACAAGCACAAAAGCAAAAAGGAGAGCTAATTCTTGGGAAGTCTGGAGGTGTGCTTTGGAGGACCTGTGAACAGTTGTATGATGATTGCTCACCTGGCTGCGCATGTTATGGTTTTGGAGGAGGCCCCGCAGTTTACTGAGCCAAGCTCGCGGCATGGAAACCTCCTGTTTGCGATATCTGTGCGATCTGTCCAACGTATAGGCAAACAACTGGTGGTTCCTTCAAACGATTGACGAACTCCACTGAAAAGGTTCCAATTAAACAATGAATGTTTGGCACAAGCCGCTGGGCGTCTCTTTTTGAGGCCCGTTACCCTTGTTGGGGTTATCTTGAAGGGAAACCAAGAGGACCATAGTCGTCCTTTTGGCGAAATAGATGGCTCTGGTAAATGGTATGCAACCCATCTAAACCAGTGGAAACCATTTGTTTCTAACCAAACTGACCGATCAAAAGGACACCTATGAAAAGACACACACCCTCTTTTTGGGGGAAAAAACAACACGCCGCTCTTCTCCCGGCCTCAAGGCCACAAATTCAGATCTCAGTTCGGCCCCCTCCCCCAATGTCATTTTCCAGGGGGGGGGGGGGATCCCCAACAAATACCAAAAGTAATCAGGCCTTCCCAAAGTGGGTGGACTCCTGATGCCCACGGGCCTCCCCCGCTTGGGGGAAAAACCCCGCCCCGCCGCTGGAACTTCTCTCCGGGGCCTGGAGCGCCTCCTCCAGCAGCGGCGCCAACGACACGCGGAAGGACGCCCCTTGCAACGCCACGGAGGCGTTCAAGAGCAGCGCCGCGCCCGCGTCCCAGGCCTTGGCCGCCTCCGAGCTGAGGGAACCGACCGAGAGGCCAGCGGCCGCACATCGCGCACCATGGTGTATGAAGCCATAGGAAGGAAACGGAAAGGCACTTTGAAACCGTGGTTGAAACTTCTTCTTTTTTGTACCGCATTCTCTGAGGGAAACCATTGTTTCTTGGTATTTACGTGGGGAATCGAAGCATAGGATGTCTGATCTCGGTGGTGCGATGTCTGGATTCTGCGAAACCAGGCTGGTTGCCATTCACAACAACCATGGGAGAAGGACACTTCGCAAGGCTTGCTACGCTACTTACGGAGGAAAATCAAAATTCAATCCCTGGGGTGCGACATGGAGTTCGTCCATCTGCCGAATGGTACTTACTAGCGGTGATTTTGCAGTTGGGCGCAAGAAAAACAAGTCGGTCCGATTCGCGATTGGTTCCAAGGGTCTGGTTCCTTCCAGTTCGGGGAATTGGTATCATCTCTACTCTTGGTATGGTAGCAAAAAACTTTGTTTGTTGCAGACCCCCAGTAAAAATGAACACACACAAAAAAAAACATGCCAAGAACAGTGAAGGTATACCTTGCCCCCTCCCTTGCGGCTATGGCCTTGTCCTCTCCAGCCGTGTGCGGACCTCCGGACCAAAGGGCATGCCAGGCCTGCGTCCTGCGGTTGAAGAAGCCATGGGTTGGGATCTGGAGAAACCGGGGCAGGTCAACCAACTTGCAGGGTGGGAGGTTCACGTTGGGGGGTTGGAGCTTGGAGTTGGGTACAAACATGGTTTGCAAACCTATCACAAGTTGGATGGTTCAGTTCGGGCCCATTCCAACTCATTCCGGGAATGTGTACCAGTGGGGTAGATGAAGCCCTGTAAATACTAGGGTAAGCTACCTACCAACTGGCCCCTGTTTCCGGCTCCCGTTTAGCGCCCACCAAAGGTTTTTGTTTCAACAACTCTTGCAACCCCTTTTCTCCTGGTCCAGCAATTGGTCGTTTGAACAGCTCTTGCCTTCTTGGCTCGCCCACCCAAATTGCCAGGGACCCCGGGGACCCAGGCGAGGTCTTGGGATGTTCAGCCTTTGTAAGGCTCACTTCCGGAGTTGCTTGGCCAGAAAAAGCCCACATGTTTCTAGGTCCTCCAGTCTTGGAGGTTAGAATAAGGGTACCAGCTTTTTTCGGTTTTGTCTCTTTTAGTAGGGTCCCGAACCCTCCCCCCAAAAAAGAAACGGTAGAGAAGGGCACCAATTGCTGGGAAACCTAGGTCTTGTTTGCCACAAAAACGGCAAAAACCCAAGAAGCGACAAAAAAGCCCATGAGCTCAGGGAGTGAGAAGGTGACCATCGTCACAGTTCAACAAACGAACTTTATCTTGGTTGGCGTTGGGTTTGGGGAGCATTTTTTTAACAAAAAATAGCAGTTAGGTGGATTTGGAGTTCAACCACTAAACCACAATTTGCTCAAAAATTGGTAAAATGTTTCCCAACAACAACCACGTTATCTCGTGCCCAAAGGACTCAAAAATACAAAAGATCAACCCTTTGGGGCCAGGAAAATAAAAGTGCACCAAATCAGGAAACCGCAAAAAAATCAAAGGTTGACGTGCAGGTGAGTCTTCAAAACCATGTTTTAAACTAGACGAAAACGCACAACTGCCATCCACTAGGCTTCAGAAGACCTAGGGGGTTCCTGCATCCTCTAGAACTTCCCCAGTTCTAGGTGTAGCTAATCCATTCTTTCCAGGGATCCTTCTTTTCAGGAAACCATCAAAACCCCCAAGGGAAACACCCTAGTGGCTTGCACATGCCAACCGGTCCTAGTGAACTCCACCGCCACCGGCAGCAAGGCCTCGCCCAAGGAGCTTTGGTGGAAGCTGTTGGCCAAGCACTGCAGCGCCAGCATCGTGGCAGCTCCCAGCGGCTCCTTCTCCACTCCCAGTAGACTCAGTTGGCTGCAACCCGCAACAGTGCGACAGTCACGCGGTCGATAGCTCTGGTGGGAAAAAATGGTGTGAAACAAAAAGCATGTGGCTGGTCTTGGTTGACGTTGGAAGGGGATGTTTTTTAATTGTTTAGCAGTTAAGTGGGGATTTCCCACTAAACCACAAGAAGCAAACATGTAAAATGCTTCCCAACAGCAACCATGTGGTGGTTGCTGGCACGGCCAAACATGGCCCCCCCAACTTGGAAGTTCACAGGCCCGGCTTCCAAAAGAAGAAGTAGTCCAAAAGGACGGGTCGTGCACTCCCATGTTTGTTTGACCGGCAGGACTGGAAATCCCTTGAAAAAAAAACACGTTCGAAAGTTCTGGAGGAAACCCTGGCGAGTCTGTCTCAAAAAAGGGTCGACTTTCCCGAAAAAGATGGCCTCGCGAAAAGGTGGATGGGTCCATTCGGAAGCCTTCAGCTTCCCACAAAAAATTGGGCGGTTGCCCATGCGCCCGCTAGCTGCTGAGCAGCATGGACTCCAGGAGCAGCCCCAAGGCCTCCCGTGCCCCCGGCTCACTGCCGCCCAGCAGCCTCAGGGAACCGCCACCCACATCACCTGTCCCGAAAAAGAACAACAAACCGCCTGGTGGGTGTATTTGGGTTTGACCCCTATAGTCCCGATTTTGGCAATCCCTTGTGGCCTTTTTTAAGGGAATATTGCTGTATTTCAAAGGGAACAACCCCTAATTAGTTTTTTTCATCTTATTTTTCAGGAAAAAAACACACAAAAACAACTGGTGGCTTCCTCTTCTGCTTTTCGGAAAGCCCCACCTCCGGTTTTTGATGCCCCCCACCCGAGCTCCGCCCGCCTCAGCCCCGCCAGGCGCCGGCTCAGGTCCAGTAGCGGCACGGCAGGCGCCGCAGCCATGGCCCGCGCCAGGGCCGCCACCTGAGCCGAAACACCGCCGTTTGGAGGCCAAAGGAAAAACACCATGGGATGGTCCACCTTGAAGTTGATAATAAAATAACCTACCCAGAAACACAAAAACATGTCTTCTTCTTTGTCTTCTTCTTCTTCTTCTGCTTCTTCTTCTTATTGTTCTTATTATTGTGTTTATTTTTTTCTTCTGCTTCTGCTTCTGCTTCTTCTTCTTCTTCTTCTTCTTGTGTTTCTTCTTTCTTCTTCTGTTTCTGCTTCTGCTTCTTCTTTCTTCGTTTTGGCTTCTGGGTCGATCCCATGCATTGCGAAACAAACCGAGCAGCAAATGGTCTACCCAGAATTTGGGAAAATGGCCGGCCAGAACCATGCAACAAGTTGAACAGGGTGCGAAGGCACCCATTGGCAAGGGGATTGTCCCTAACATTCATCAACCCAGAACCATGTAAACAACATTGAACCCAGAAACTCAGAACCATTCAAAACCCCTGAGTAGATGGCCCAACAAAAAGTCCAAACTTCGTATTTACCCACTAAAATGGCCCAAGCCCGAAAAGTTTAATCTCCGAAGCGGAACTCAGGAAGTGAGGCCCAGGACCCTTGAAAGGGCGGCTGCGCCCAGTTGATTGGTGGCCCACCTGCCGCGGCTTCGGCTTCGGAGCGCCAGAAGCGCAAGCGCGGCAGAGCGCAAGCACCGCCTCGCGAGCCAAGCGGAGCGAAGGCGGTTCCCAAGTTTCGGGGTCCCCAAGGCTCTCTTCCTGAGTGGATGGGCCAAAACAAGTTTGACCTTGTTGTCTACAACTAAAACATACCTACATACATACATACCTACATACCTGCATACCTACATACCTACATACCTACCTACATACATACAGGCATACATGCAGACATGCATACATAAAATTACATAAACATAAATATATAAGCGGCTGCCCCTCTATCATGATCAAAAAGTGATGATTCACTTCGGGATGATCTAAACCACATTGTCAGAAACCGAGGCCATTCAAGCCTGCCCCAAGCCAAGTCTTCACTGAGCCCTCGCAAAGCAGCTCGTGTGTGATCTTGCCTGATGGCAGGTCGCCAACACAACAAAGACACAAACTGTCCGAAGTCTTCGATTTTCAGCATGGCTTGGGCTGCTTCGCGGTATGTGGGCCGCGCAATCCAGGATGCGACTGCCATCCGCGAACAAAAGCGCTGGCTGCAACAGATACATCTTTGGTTGCCAAATTTCCTCCTCTACAGGATGTGACAATTGTGTTTCCAGTTTTGGACCGTTTCTCTCCCCTGCACTAAACAAGGGCCCCCCAAACCCTCAAGAGAAGCAGCAACTACTCCCGTCGTAGAAGCAATCGGGTCGTACAGCTCGCCGCGTCTGCAGAAACCCCGAACATGGTGTGCGGGGTGACCTGGCGGGCGGGCGATCCTTGAAAAGAGCGATGCCAACAGCTGTTTGATAGAAAACGTTGGGAGCGCACATTCTCACAGCGTGCCATGACCACACAGGGTCTCTACAGATGGTCTTGGGTGTTGGGCGCGCTCTTCAAACAAAGGCCCTCTGAAAGCTCCTATCAAAGATAGAGGTCGTGCCCAACACCGGCCCAGGCTGGGAACATTGTAGGTGAGGAGAAAGCGCTGAAGATCTGCCAGCATGCTGGACTCCCCGAACCCGAAGGGCAGCCCAGGAATTCGGCGGCCGTGCAAGATGGCGTTGAAGGCCACAACTGGGAAGGAAACTTGCTCTTGAAAGTCCAGCAGTTCCAGGCCCTGCGGGCAAACGGAGCGCAGATGCAATCAGAGCTGCGTCCGCCCGCTCGTCGGTGGCGCCCATGTCAAGGCTGGCGGGTCAAGCTGGGCACGCCACTTCGACAGCGCTTCTCTTCTTCGTCATGGGAGCTGATGCGTCAAGCAGTACGAATCAACTGGCGGACAGGATTGTGGTCTTGGAAGTTTTGCTTAAAAGTCAATTCGAGGTGATGAAAGTGGGAGGGTCTTAAGATTACAGGGGCTGTTCATGGCTTTGGCACTTCACATGGCCCCTCGATCTTGCTAAGATATAAACTGAGATACCTCACAACAGGTTCATTGTCGCGCCCCGTAACTTCGCAGTTGATGCACTAGCATAATTGCACCAAGTGAAGCACGCACGCCTCGGCGCCTATGTTTCACCGTCCCGGGATGTCCCGCGCTGGCAGAAAGCAAAGTTCGATCCAGGCTCGTGTGTTTGCGGCGTGTAGCTGGGGAAATACTGCGAAAACACTTTTGAATGACCCATCACTGCAAAAAGTTGATAACTTGGGTGGGGGTAGTAAGTTTGCGAAGATCCAGCAAAAGTTGCCCTCATCAACGTACACAGTAAAGTGTGTCCCGTGTGTCCGTTTGGCTTTTAGCATTTCCGCTTGATTGACTGCGAAAGGCAGGAATGTTGTCAATCGTATAGCTTCCTTACCAACGGCTTGAAATTCCAAACAGTTACACTTTCCAAACAGTTACACTTTTCTGCAATGCCTGCGTGATGCAAAAGTTGTCTTGACTTGCCGAAGTTGTTCCTGACGACGGCTTCAAGGTGAATTATTCATTCTCCCACCATCAAGGTTCCCTACTGAAATGCTTAACCCTCATTGGACCCCTACAACCGATGATAGAAGAAGCAACATGAGCAGCGCAAAGGCAGTTATTTCCCGTTTCTCAAGGCTGCTCTGTCACAGCTGTCTGGGCCGGCCACTGGTCCGGCCACGGCACATTTCAATTAGCCTCCCAATAAACATGTGTATAACACATTTAAAAGAATTAACCTTCTGTGTGCATGCGAATTAATGCGGGTATATTGCGCGGAGGAATGAACATTTAGGCAATTGCTGCCTCATGTTCGAGTGGCCTTGGCATGACGCGAAATGGCTCCGACATCCCTGGCAGGGTCCAAAATTCGTCGACCCTTGATGTTTTGGGCATATATATATATATATATGTATGTATATATATATATACATCCATCTATCTTGGGAATGGCTCGGAGGCTCAGAGCAACCCGGACACAAAGCCTTGGGTGAGGGCTGTTTCTCAGAAAATGGGGTCCCTCCAAGTCGGTGGATTCCCTTTGGCTTCCCTTTAACTACCAACCCCAAACGTAACCCCCAGAAACCACAACTCGAAGTGGACGGCTAGACCTGCTTGCTTCACGCCAAGGCGAGCCGACAAAGAACCAAAGATTGAAGTCACTCGAGTTCTTATTTTCTGCGCCACGCGGGCGGAATGTGAACAGGCTACAGTATGAACGATTGAAAAATTGTTTTAATGATGTGCCCCTGCCCTCAAAAGGTTAAAACAATGCACACATGCATGTGTATGTGGAGCCCGTTGTTGTGTTGGCGTTTTGCTGAAAGCGGCTGCGCAGTTCTCAAAGGTAACCATGTGATAGTTGCGAAAGCTTCAAGCGCTGAACCATTTCAGTCTGAGCACCAAAGAGCATGACGTCTGCAACCAGTTCATTGGGAGACACGCCATCTGTCATTCCCCCCCTGCCTGCGCTAAATTTCTGCCCTCCCCATTCAAAAAACACACACACACACAAACAAACCCGTTTAGGTTCTTAGGGGGTTCCCCTAAACAAAACCGAATTGGAGGGTTCAAGTAATGTTGACTCCATATGACCCAACCCCGAATTGGAGGGTTCAAGTAATGTTGATTCCATATGACCCAACCCCAGTTTAGCAATACGGCTAAACCCAGGGAAAAGCACCCCCCTACTACTAAACCGGGGTTGATTAATTTGGGGTCCACATGGCTGTGTGTCAAAACTAGGTACCCAAAATGGAACCCTGGTAAATGGAAACATGGACTAAAACCTGTGGCGCCCTGGTGGATTAATTTTGCGCCACACCCTTGGTTGCTGTTGACCCCTCTGCAAAAAGTTTAACTTTTTGGGGGCTTAGTGGAAAGCCCCTTGATTTCCCAACAAGTTAAAGTCTACAGATCCAACCCAACAGCAGTCAAGAGTTCCCTTAGGTTTAATGGAATACCCATTAGTTGGCAAAAAGTTTAAGTCCTAACATCCCTTGGCAAAATCAGGGATCCTTACATTATACACCTGAGCATTGCCTTGTAAGTGGTGGTGTCCCTGCATTTTGGTGTTGAAAAAGCCATGCTTCAAATGGTTGCAAAAGGAATTTCTTTTAACGAGCCCTGCAAAATGCACCAAAGATTAGTTCCCCTTAGGTAAATGCCTCACCCCGCCTCGGCGGCGCCTTCCCCGCGCTGGGCCATGAGCTCACGGGCCGCAGCCTCCATCTTCTCCGGGCCCTCCTGCGGGGACCCCAGGCGTGGCCCCCAGTGTCGGCATGTGCCAAGCACCAGGTGAAAAAGCTCCAGGAGGGTCACAAATTCGCAAATTTGCCCTTCAGAAAGTGGGGTCTCTGCAAGTGTTGCGTTCTTTCATGGTTGCCTTTTGTGGTTCTTGCGTACTTTTCTCTCTCCTGTTGTTCCTTCTTCTTCTTTTTTTTTTGGGGGGGGGTTCTGAAAATGTTACCTTGCTCATGTTTTTTGGTTGGGGGGGAGGGGGATGGGTGGTTTCCCCAACTCAAACGTTGGGCAACCTTGACTTGGAACCCAGTCCTTCGGCATGCACAAGACCAGCTCGTGATGCAAAGCATCAGGATATCCTCCGTAACACTACTGGACGAGGTCCTATGAACAAACCACTTGTCAGAGTCCTGGGAAATGACCACTTCTGTGATACAACAAAAAGGGCCTAACCCCAAAGACTAACCCCCCATATAAAGGGGGAGATTCCCTTGTGTTGCAGAAGTGGTTGGATAAACCCCGAGAGATCCCACAACCCTGAGCTTGTATCTTTCTTGTCCAGACGTGTTTAGAGATCTGGCTGGCTTCTGGGGACTTAAAGAGCCTTTAAGCTATGTTCAAAATGGTTTGGGTTGGCCTGATCCATAATCCCTATAGGAAAGCCACTACAAAGGGGACCGAATCCTTCCGTAACCCAGCCGGCACGATATTGTTGACATGATTAACCGTTTTTGGTAAGTTGGGAACGGGAGAGCGTGTGCAAACCCCATTGACTTTCTCCCCAAATGGTTACATGTTTTTGGTGGCCTTACCTAAAGTCTGTCAACAACCCTTGGTAGGGTCGCAAAAAACGGGTGTTCTGCTTCTTTGTGCCCTACTAACCATGAACAGAGCCTAAAATCTGAAAACCAACAAAAGCATGACAACAATGAAGGTCACCGCCATCAGACCAGGTTTCAGCAGCACCAAAATTGCCCATGAAAATCGGCTTGGGGCTCTGCGATCTGGGTGTTTCTCCAAAAAGGGGGGCCTATGGGGCCCTAAAACGTGGGTTTGTGTACTCTTCTAGATTCCCTAAAACACCCACCCAAAGGGTCTGAGCCGCATTTTGAGCATGGAGTTCCTTGTCGCCTCCATCTCGCTCCAAGAATCATGGAGGCTGACAGGGTTCCGGAAGACTACTTTCCTTTTGGGCGCTCTGTCCACTTCCATGGTTGTTGGGAACAAGGGTACCCGGACTCTCAAAATTCCCAGCCTAAAAACGAGTTTTGCAGTTACACTTGCCAAACCTAAAAAATCCCAGCCTCAAACATGGTCTATGGTGCTTTTCAACTCCAAACTCTGGAATGGCTAAATCCCGACTTGTTTTCCGTGGGTAGTCCTTTCGGGAGGTGACCAAACCTCCCACAGCTCAGGGACTCCGAGGCGCGCATCCCCAGCTCCGCCAGCTTCTGCGGCGCCTGCTTGGCCAGCGCGGCCGCCCGGGCCAGGACGGCCCCCTGGATGGCTCGGATGGCTTCACGCTGGCGGCGAAATCGCAGCGCCGAAATGAAACCCTGGAACTCACTTCCTGAGTGGATGGCACCAAAAAAAGTCCAAACTTTATATTTACCACTAAAATGGTCTGCATGCTGCTATGGTTAAAAGAGCTACAACCAGAAGAAGAGCCCGGTCTTGCTTGGTTTGGTGTGCTATCTTGCGAAATAGGCCTTTCTGCAAAATAGCTCGAAGAGCCAGCTTGTTAAAAGAGCCCTGGAATGCCCCTGCAAATGCCGACCAATGTTTTGAGGAACTGGACCCGCCAGTTCCAAAAACCGGCTTCCCCTTTGGTCTCCCTGGTCAATTGTGTCGACTTGGGTGTTGTCTCCACTTGGGTGTGCGATGTTAGAGTTAGCATGCCTATGCATGCCTTTTCAAGTTGGTTTTGAAGGGGGAAACCGAAAGGAACGCCACTCTAGTTTTCATGTTGACCACATATCATATACCCGTTTGGTCATGTACCTGCATACTGAGCAAGATAGGAAAATCACGCCTACCGCCGACACAAACAATCGAAGAATGAAAGAACAGGAGGGGGGAAGCCAGAAGGGAATAACTAACCAGAACTCCCCGGCTTGGCCAACACAGAAATACCCCAACAAAAACTCCTTACTTTCCACAGAAGGTTCATATGGGAGAGACATGGGCTCTGGCGCCTCCAGGGCGGCCACGGATCCGTCAGCCAGTCGGAGTCGCTCAAGCACGGCGCCGTCCGGCTGCAGCAAACGCGCCTCAAGAAATATCAGGCGTGTGCCTTCTTGGGGCCGTTCCCACCTTGGTTTGGAGGGAAACCACCAGGAAACATGATGCTCCCGATTTTGGCGCATACCCAGGTCCTGCGCCCCTCCCCTCCAACCCCCCAAAAAAAAAAAAACTTCTCCGGAAACGCGTTGTTTTTTGGGACCCCCCCAAAAAAAAAAAAAAAACTTCTCCGGAAACACGTTTTTTGGGGACCCCTCCCCCCCCAAAAAAAAGAAAAAAACGTGTTTCTTGGGACTCAGCCCATGGATGGATCGGCTTTATCTGCCTCTGGCTCCGTGACCTTCGCCCAGGCCGCCACATCCTTGGCCTCCGCCAGGTTCACCTGACCGAGGCTTGGCCCAGATGCCCAGGGCTCCCTTCTAGGGGTACCTACTGAGGCGAAATCTGCGAAGCCCTGCGAAAAGCGAATTGATTTCCCGAAAAGTTGAAGTCTAAAGATCCAACCCAACAGCAGTCAAGAGTTCCCTTAGGTAACTCTCAACACTTCTTGGTTGCTTTCTGCTCCCCTGCCAGGGATCCGAATCTGTCTAACCTCCGGACACCCAGGGAAAACGGATCCGGTTGTTGGCAAGAACGATGGTTGAAAAGAATGGACAAGGAATCAACCAAAAGAATGATCTCGATATTTCCCCAGCAAGCAGCTTAACTTTTTGTCCTGGCGCCAAGAGGTGAGGCTTAAAACCACCAAAGGGGGACATCTAGGGACCCCTGGGAAGAGGCATGTTGCCTCCTGGACCCGAAAGAAGATGCCCAGAAACAAGGGCAGGAGTGCACCAATTCCAGAATAGTGGATTGCAAGAATCCATGCTTGAGCTGGAGGTAAAGGGGAATTTTGAGGGTCCAGGCAGTTGCGAACCGGCAAAAACGAAATGCACACCAAGAGGTAGAACAACAACAAGTAATTCAATAACACACACATGGAAGATCATAGTTTATATGACTCTGTGTCATATTTAGTCTGCCCTCGAAAAAGGAAATAGTGTTGGCGGCGAACGGGAGGCGGTGGGAGTATCCCTGAGCTTGAAAAACGCCTTATGGGCTTAACCTAAGCTTCAGACAATTACGCCTACAAACTACCCTCTTTTCAACGTGGAAGTAGACAAGGGCGGTTGGAAGACTACCATCTTCTCGAAAAGACTGCGGGTCCACTTCCATGATGTTTGGAAGAGGGTAATGTTGGGTTCCGTAAAAGGAAGATCCATCCAAGAAAAAAAACATGGTTTGTGCATTTCCATGTGAATCTGCAGGAGTGTACGGGAAGGCAATCAACTCTTAGGCTGCCATTTTGAGGTGGCGGAGAATTCCCCTCGCTGCGTTCCTTGCGAGGCTTACGCTGATCACAAAGTGGGGTTCTGCCCGTCGGGCTTCCTGAACCTGGTGGGGTCTTACATGGTCTTGCCATGCCCTCCACAGACCTATTGAAAGCCAGGGCCAAGGACATGAGTCGTGACCCCTTGCATCTTCTCAGTGGACGGTGGTTCTTGGGAACCCTCCATATTGAAACCAACCAAACGAAGGTGGTGGGTACCACCGCACACCACAAAAAAAAGAGGACGACACATCTGCCCCGAGCCTCGGCCCCCTGTCAAGCCCCCCCCCCTCCCCACCTCACTGCTCTTCTTCTTGGATGAGGTTGGAAGGGGGGCAAAAAACTAATTTTTAGCATTTTTGTGGAGATTGCAACCACTAAACCACAACAAGCGAAAATGCAAAATGTTTCAACAACAACCATGCCAAGAAACCTTGAGAGAGTCAAACATCACTAGGCTTGCTTCTTTATATTGGGGGAACCGCTCCAAAGAGTGAACCTGAACCCTCAAACTCGCCGCACAAAAGGGGCCTTCCGCCTTCAACCACATGTCTTCCCCTCCCCCCTCCCCCCCAAACCCCCCCCCCGCCGCCTCGGCAAAGGCGACCCCTGCCGGCTGCAACGCCGCCAGATGCTGGCAGCAGCGGCGTGCCCGGGAGGAGGTGCCGTCGAAGGGACGGAAGAAGAGGCACGCCACCACCGTGTCCTCGGAAAAAAATGAAAAGCACAACTGGGCTGCCCATTTTCAGATCCCCCGCTAAAAGCTTGACTTTTAGTGGTTTGAATGGAAACCCAACCACTAAACACTAAAAGGCTGAAAAGCTAAGGGGGGTGGCTGGGAGCCAGCAAGACAAAACAAATGCCCGATCGAGGTGGTCGAGGTCATTAAGAAACCAGCGGACCAGGAACAATCCACAGGAAACTCCATGGGGTTGGCGGGGGTATGTGACTGATGGTATATAAATCTGCCACGTCGATGGGGTGGAAGCATTTGACGTTGCTTCGCCAATGTGTGTCTGCATCTTAAGTATACAATCTGGTTTACGCATTTGATGCCATGTTAATCATTCATTCACCTGGTTGTTGCATCTGCTTGTTGACTTTCTCTATGTGTTTACGTTGCTCGTTGTTTGTTTAAGTCCGTCTTACGCCATGCATTGCTGTCTTCCCCGGCAGTCCGAAAGCTGAAGCCAACCCAACTTCGCGGCCAAGCTTTCGCTTGGGGCGACAAGCGAAACTGAACTCCTGGACCCTCAAACTACCCTTGTTTGCCCTTTTTTCACAACGAAGGAAATCACCCCACAAGATCGTCCGCTTCCTCAGGGAAACTGGATTTCTATTCCTACGAAAGGTGATCGACCTTTTGAAGAGCAAGCTGGAACCTTCAAAGTACCTTAAAAATTGGGCATTGCCCCAACCTTGTGGGGTGATTCCCTTTTTTTAAATGGGTTTTTGCCCCCACCTCTCACTCCCTGAGTTCCTGGACTTTAAACTTTTTGGGAAGACCATTTTAGTGGTGGAGGGTTTTGGAAGAGTGTCCTTTTCATGCAGCCACACAGCCACTTGTCCACTTCCATGATGAATGGGAAAAGGCCTGTTCCCAAAAAGGTCTCTCCACACCTTCTGGATGTCACCAGGCCAGCCACCTAGAAAGTTCCCAAGAAATGGCATAGCCCAGTGTCCTTCTGGCACCCCGCCAGCAGATGCGCGGCGTCCTCCGCGCTTTGCACCTCCCACACCGCCTCTTCCGCGTCCCGCGGGTCCGGGAGCTCCGAAAGCTTGAAGCGGCCGCCCGGCCTGAAGAGTTCAAGCGACGACACCGGCCGGTGGCACCATCCCTGGTGTGCTTTCAGGGAACTGGGTGAGCACCATGGACATAGGTGTCCTTTTGGGGCAAATAGATGGCCCTGGTAGATGATTAAACCACCAGGTAAACCAGGGCCGTCTATTTTTCGAACAAAACAACCAAAAAGGACACCTATGACCATGGATCATTTGTTTGTTTTTTTAGGGAAGTCCTGGGTTCTTTCCCAACAAGATGGGTCATTCCCTATACCATCCCCTGTGGCTTCCTTTCAGGGAAGTCCTGGGTTGTTTCAACGCACCATGCCGCATTCCCTATCGCACCGGCGCAAGAGTTGCCCCTGGCCATTTTGGGCGAACCCGGCTGGGGACCCCCGCCGCATCAGTTCCGGTTCCGCCTCTGCCGGAACCGACGGCTCAACGGGAGCTGCCTCGGCCGCCTGCGAAAGTGCACACAGGCCCTGCCCAAACCCAAGCTGCAAGCACTTGGCCATGGACAAGTTTGAAACGAATCAGCTTCCATCTCAAGGGCGTTTTGCCGAGATGTTCCCTGGTTTTCCATTTGCCTCGAAGCCACCGGTTCAAATCTCACCGGGCTCCACCGACCTTTCAAGTTGTCAACGGAGAATTCATTCTCCGGCTCAGGATGTCCCTTGGCAAAGCTTTGGCCTGGGTCACAGAAATTCACCAAAGCCAACATCAGACTCCATTGGTGAATTCAATTAATCAGACCCCACCCCTATTCCCTACTCTTGGGTGTGTCCTTTTGGTTGAGGCAACTACTTGTTCTTTATTCTCGTCTGGTTTTGCCATTCTTGTTCGAAGGGAACTCTTGGAGGCCTGAACCCTCAAACTCCCAACCTAAAAATGGGTGGGTGCGCCCCAAATTCTGGGGCGACCTCCCTTTATGGGCAGTTTCAGGGTTTCAGGTGCCCATTTTGGCGGCCCCCGCCTGCGGCTTCGGCTCCGGCGGGATCTCGCGCAGCAATCGGCTCGCAATCGGTCCGGATCGGGCCCTGGGAGCGACCGCCCAGACCGATGGACGGCATCCGTGCGCACCTCTTGAAACCGGACTCCCAAAATCACATGGGAAACCATAGGAACTCCCAAAAAAGTCTTATTTTGGCAAGAAACCCAGAGCCTTTGTTGGTATCTACAGGGGCATCGAATCATTCCCTTGGGCTTCTGTGGTGCGGAATGAACTTCGTCCAATGCGGAAGGGGCCCGTTGTGGTGCGGTCTTGGAGATGGTTCGGGCCAACAAACCTCCAGCGCTTTGCGTTAAAAAGGCTGCGCATCCCATTTCGAAGGGATCCTTCGAACTTGAGGGGAAAAATCACTGTGGAGGGGATGAAATATTATAATATATATATATATACCACTTTCAAACCATGGTGTTTCAACCATTGCTTTTTGGTATTTACGTTGGGGAATCAAATCATTCCGTGTGTCTGAACGGTGCGAAGTCTGGGATACAACAAGCCCAGGGCTTCCAAAGACTAACCCCCCAGGGGGAGATTCCAACTTGTCTCACTGGGGATAAACCCCTTGAGATCCCACAACCCTGATCAGTATCCGCCAAACTGTGTTTTTTTTTTTGTTTTTTTTTATCTCACCCCAAAGGACCTAGACATAAAATTGGTTCACTTGTTGGGACCTGTACGGGTGTACCAAAAACACCCGATCAGATGTGATCCTGCGACCCGCCCTCCGCGCAGCCGCCCCTCGGGGCCCCGGCGGGCGCAAAGCCGCCTTGATGCCAGCCACGAGCCTGGAATCGAACGTCCCATGCGACAAACCAGGAGTCCTCAGAGGGTTCGCCCTTTTCTGTGGCAAACGGCCAGAAAAAGTGACCAACAAACAAGAAAAACAAGCCCCCTGCTTTATCCTGGTTTACAAGGATTCGGATCCTCCAAAACCAGCTGCATTTGGGGTGATCCCTTGGCCGTGACTTCATGCCCACGAGGCCGTTTGGCAGTTTCAGGCAGCAAAATGGATGGAAAGATCGGCGAACCCCCAGCATGTTTTCTTCTTGAGGGATTTGTATGTCGAATGGTTGTCGTTTTTTTTTTTTTTTTAATATTTTTGTTTTTCGCCCTAAGCCAACCCCCCCCCCCCCAAAACAAAAAAAAAGTACCCTCAAAACACACACACACACACACACACACACACCCGTATAGCCGAGGCAGTATCGCCAGCCACGTTTTTTTTTTCCCAGGAATCCAGAAACCCCCAAGCAGCCCCAAGCGCATTCGCGGAGTGGCTAAGAGTTCATGGCTGCTGCTTGGGCAGAAATCTTGGCAGGGGCTAGGCACTTCGCCCCAAAGAACTGGCCGACGACAAAGTGCGCCAAGGTGCCGACTGGTTTGTAGTCCACTGCGATTATTTTTCTGTGCCCTGGAGGGGTTTGATTATGCTTGATTTCTTTTTGTTCGTTCAGATCTGCAGGCTGTGGGCAAAACATTGCAGAACTTGAGCTATGAACAAGGTCTGCCAAATCCAAATGGCTGCACCTATTTGTGCTCAAGGCTTTTCACTTGGGCTCCCGGGGTTCCAATGTTAACTTGCGGAGTAGCCTTCAATTACTCGGGTGTTCAAGCAGGGATCCGGATGCATTATACACCTGAACATTGCAACTTGTAAATGGTGGTGTCCCCTTATTTTGGTGGAAAAAGCCATGTTTCAATTGGTTGCAAAATGTATCTTTTAAGGAGCCCTATTTTGATGGTGGCCCAAATTCCCTTTGCAATTCTGACCCCCCTCGTTGCAAAGCAAGCAGCGCGACAAGCAGGAGCGCGAGAAGCAGCCAGGCGAGAAGAGTCGTGTCTACATCCATCCGACCGCGGGAAACAAGTGGCAACCAATTGCTTTTAAGTTTGATTCAAAACCCTTTAAGTTGAACATCACGCACATTGGGGTTTCTGTAACCAACACCCTTTTAGGAGCTTCCAAATCCAAGTTCGATGCATCTGCTCCAAGTTCGATGCATCTGCTCCTGCTACATCCAATGCTTCGCCTCGTGCGATGATGTCCGATGCATTTCTTCACTGCATGCCATGTTGCCACCCTAGCGGCTGCATTCGAGCCGAGAGCCTAGTGCTGGGTGTCAGCTCTCAACCGGAGGCTTTACAAGCCGATTCCGTGCTCGGTGGGGAGTGTCAAAGCTTGGGGCCTGGTACTGTGGATGGTTGCGAAATCCAGACATCGCACCACTGAAGCAACCCTGGAACCTCGACTGATTCGACTCCCCTGTTTGTTTGTTTTTTTTCGAACAAACAACGCTTTCCCATGCGGTCGCCCAACCACAATAGGTTGAATCGGAAACCACCGCTTCCAGCTTCTGACTTTTTCAGCTTCTGACTTTGAGAACCCAAACGGAGTCAAAACCACCACCCCAAACAGGGATGACTGGATTTTTCCACCAAAGGTCGCAAATTGCTGCTGTCCACATTTTACGATCGATCCACTTTTGGAGGCTCCCGTTGAGGAAGGGAAATGGCTCGGAAGCCCTGAAGTGAAGAACCAACAAGCCAACGAATTCCCCACTGACCCAAGCTATACCCTTGGTAGAGTGGGGAAACGTCCCTCTTGGGATGTCGCGCCTTCTCTTTTAGCCTCGCGAGCCGCTCGAGTCAGAGGATTCCTCCTCTACCTTTTGGTCCGACGAATCCGTCGGCAGCTCGATGCCGTGCTCGAGGGCTAAGGCCTCCAAGTGGAGAATCAAACGGCCTCGGGTTCCCCGAACGGCCTGGGATCACGTTCCGGGACCCTCAAGATGTACTTGTGGAGTCTCCAAGGGGGGTGGCAAGGCTCCCGACGAAACCTAAGGAAATCTAGACAACCCAAGGAACCCTAAGGAACGGCTCTCAACCACCCCCTAGTACCTACCCCAGTTAGGGATTCCAGAATGTATGGGAAGGCTTCTTCAAGGCACGGTTCCTTCCATCCAGTCCTGATGCTCGCTGTGCCCCTTCCCTCAATCGCCCTGGACCCCGCGAACGTCCACAGGTGAAGGCTTGGTGTCAAACAAGGGCCGCAAAAAACTGGTGGGGCTTCATGTTGACTTCTAAGCAAAACTCAGATGCAAATGCCCAGCGCATTTCCATGGGAAAAAAGGACACCCTGCTTTTGTTGGCTGAGTTTAAAGGAATCGGAACCCTTACCCAAAAAAGGAAAAGCGGGCACCCTTGAGCAACCAACCTGCCAGAGGAGGTACCCCGCACACACACACACACACACACACACACACACACACACACACACACACACACACACACACACACACACACACACACACACACACACACACACAAACACACATGGACACCCGGCGAGAAAACTGAAGAGCCGGCACAGCGTGACGCGGTCTTCCCGCTTCCGCCGCTTCTTGGTGCTCTTGGTGTTGCCCCTCCAGGGATCGGCGAGTCAGCCCCTCATTAGCTGAACATGCTTAAACCAACCACCTCTTTCTTGGAACCACCTTTTCTTCAAACCACCTCCTGTTAAAACCTAGACTGTGTTTGAACAACTTCTTGCCTGATACCATTTCGTTCAAACCACCTTCTGCTAAAAGTTCGACTTTGTTTAAGCCACCTTTCTTTCCTAACAAGCTGCGGGTTAAACATGTTTTTCCACGTGGCTTCCGGCCAAGAAAAGGCGCCTGGTCATTTCCCCAGCCGATTCGAAGCCCCCGGAACCATCCCTAACTATCGGCCCCAAAACTTTCAGCTCGTGAAAATGTGTACGTATTTTTAGTAGGCGGTGGAACCCCAGAATGGGCGGTTCTTGCTTTGGCTTCCATTTAAACCAACCCCCCCAAAAAAAAACCAGCTCCGATTGAAAGACCCACAAAAAACAAGTTCCAAACAACACCCAAAAAGCAACCCGGACCCTTAACAATCAGACTGATTCACATTGGTTCTTGGCCCAAAATTCTGGGGTGAATTCCCTTTATGGGTACTTCGAGGTTCGGCCAAGTTCCGCTAGTGGGTAAAAACCTAGGTTACCACCAAGGTACTAACTTGGCAAATCGAACACCCAAGTAGCTTGAGGGTCCAGAAAGTTCCAACTACAAAAACATACTGTGAATGGACGAAATCCTGCACCACTTTGAAACCATGGGAAACCATCTTTCGTTGTTATTTACACGGGAATCATCATTCCAGGGTTTGTTAGGTGGTGCAAGGTTTCGTCCATCCACAGTAGGAGCGCCCTCCAAAGCTCCACAGCCCCAGCATGCCCCAGCCACTCGCGGCCTTCCATGACCATGTCGCTCCAACTGGAACTTGTCAGATGCTGGCACTTCCGGCGCATGTAGCGGGGGGATGTAGACCTTCCTTGGTTTAGGGTGGGTTTAGGATTGGTTTAGGGTGGATTTTGCGGCCTGCGCTGGGTGTTGGGGTTTAAGCGCGGGCGTCGAGTTGGTTTAGGTGCATTGCTGGTTTAGAGTGGGTTTTAAAGTATGGGAAGACCTCCATGGAACCCAAACATGATGGTTGATAAGAGTCTCCATCGTTTTTTGAGGAAACAACAGAAAACAAAAAACTTACCTCAAAGGTATGACATCATTTTGGAGGAGACAACAGAAGGAAAAACCAAACAAAAAAAACTAAGGGCTCTCAACCTGAGGATCTCTCAACGGTCCTTTCACAGATCTTCCCTCGCCTGAAGGACCCCCTTGAAGGACTTCCTGGTCAAATGGGGGCGCCGGTCGATCTTTCAGCCGAAAAAACATGGAAGCCCTCTTCTAGTAAAAACCAAAAGGTGAACAGCCCGGCGTTTTGCAGACATTGAGCAAAGGGACGCACCTCACCTCCGCATCGGCCCAACAAAATCTCGCCACTAAAATGTCTCAAACGCCAAAAACAAATGAAGTCCCAACTCACAAAGTGATTCCTTGGGACCTTCCCTTGGCCCAGCGAGCGTCTTCTCCAGCACGGCCCACAAGGCTTGCGCCCTCTGACGCAGTTGCCGGGGCGGCTGCTTCCGGAGCCGCTGCTCCCTCTCCGACGTCGCCGGCGCCGGCAGCTCCGACGCCCCAGGTGCCGGCTCTGCTGGCCGTGCGGCGGGCGCCGGGCATGTCTCCCCGTCCTTTTCAGCGGGTAGGAAAGTCAGCTCTGGGAAGTCAAGGGTTAAGGGTTTAGGGTTTAGGGTTTAGGGCTGAGGGTTAGCCCTTAGGGAGGGGTTAATTAATACTGTGGATGAGTATTTCAAGGAGGGGTTGTTGGCCCCTGCAAAAGTGTCCGGATTCCAACCAGGTAACCAGATTGCACCCAGGTTCACACCGGGACCCCTATTAATAAACTAGGGGTTGATTAATATGGGGTCAACATTGTGTGGGTGTGTCTTAAACTAGGGGATCCCAAAGTGGGTGGCTTTCCCGTTTGGTGTCCCTTTAAGCCGCCCCCCAAAAGGGCAACCCTTAAATTCCACGGACCCACGTGTGGGAAATGATCATCAACCCATGGTCCCTTAGGGAAATGAAACGAAGATTCTTTGAACGATATCCGGGTTTGAACTTGTTTGACTTGTTTTAATCTCTCCGGGCGCCTTATAAAAAGCCACCCGAACACGGGGCGCTGGACAAATTGAATTTCCGTCCGTCCACGCAAGAAAAAAACACATCCGGAGACTCCCCGCCTTTGAGCCCTCAAAGACCTCCAAAGGTCTCGACTCCTCCGCCAGGTGCAGCGTGACGCGTTTCGCCCCAACGTCCAGCAGCCGCTGCAGGTCTTCCGCGCCCGACGCGCCCTTCGCGGGATGCGCGCCGCAGCAGCAGCGCGCAGGCAGCTTCCGGACAACGGCTGCAGCCGCCGAGGAGGCCGCGGAAGCATCGCTGTCCGCGGCCAGGACCTATGGATCTTCGAGTCTTTGCCTTTTTGAGTTGAAACAACATGACAACGCCACCCCTCATGCTGCTTCAGGCTCACAAGACTGTTTTCCTGTGGCCCGGCGTCAAGCTGTCTCATGAGAAGACACGGCGTCTTGACAAAAGAGCACCTTGGGCGCAAAGGAGTGTCAAGCCGTGTTATCCTGCGCAGGAGGAAATGATGACCATCTTCAACAGGGAGAATGGTCTCCGTCTCCCAAGGGAGGGCGGGAGGGCCGAACAGCTGCACAGATTGCGGGATGACCTGTCATGAGAGCATGACAACGCCACCCCTCATGCTGCTTCAGGCTCACAAGACTGTTTTCCTGTGGCCCAGCGTCAAGCTGTCTCATGAGAAGACACGGCGTCTTGACAAAAGAGCACCTTCGGCGCAAAGGAGTGTCAAGCCGTGTTATCCTGCGCAGGAGGAAATGATGACCATCTTCAAGACAGGGAGAATGGTCTCCATCCCTAAAAGGCAGGCACGAGAGGCTGCGGAGTCAGGCTCGAGGAGCTCGCTAACTCCGTGTCCGTCAAGGGCCCCTCGGTGGCCTGCATCTGGAGCAAATAGAGGCATTGAGCATCTCAGCAGCGGCAAAGATCCGCTGCTTCGTCTGTGGGGGCTGCTTTGACAGGCATGTTTGTGCAGTGACCTCTTGGAGATAAGACTCAAGCGTGGCCAGGTGCTTCAGCCTCATCTTCCAGAGGATTTTCGTGCCCTTGAAAGGCGGCGACAGCGCCGCCTCCACGAAGTCCGCCAGGCGTTAAGGATGCGCGGTTGACCACCCCCAGCGAAGCCAAAATGGCGTCCCATCTTCTGCGAAAAGCGCCATGCGATCCAGGAAACAGCTTGGACGTGGCGGGAAGGTTCCCAAAGACCACCTCTGCGCACAACACTGCGTCAGGGTCAGAAAAGGAGGTGTGCTGGATTCTCCCTTTTCCCCGCCGCCAACCTTTTGGTTCGTGGATCTTCAAATACGCAGTGTTCGCTCCCGGGATCATCAGATCGGATGGGAGCACAAGTGCCTCTCGGGTGGCACCCAGGACTTCGCCGGGGCGAGCCATGCCAAAGAACACGCATCCAAGAGCTGCTGAAAATCTGAACCAGTGCCAGTGCAAAGCAACGGTCATCATGGCCCGAACTAGAGCTGCTGGAATAGGGGTTCGATGACGAACCGGCTCGGCTATCTCCCATCGGGTCAACATGTCCCAGGATGAATTGAGGTACACCTTGACGCCAAAAACGTTCTTCTGAGCAAAAGCGACCAAATGCCGGAAAACGTGAATGGGCTTCCCATGTTGGTAGAGAAAACAGCCGTACTTATTGATCAAGAGGGGCAGCAGCTGCGGCAATGCAAGAATACTTTGACATGCTTCGCGCGACAGACTTTCATTACACCAGTGAATGAATCCTTCCCACACCTTAGCCTGAAACAGCTGCGTGCGTGGCTCGACCAATGGAATGGATGAAAGGGGCACACTCCGATCTGGGACAGTACGCGTAGGCCCAGGGTTCTTCGCCTCGCCAATTCTCCTGTGCCCAGTCCGTGCACATTGAGCAGGATCGAAGTCTCTTGAAAGCTCAAACTTTCCTATAGCGGCTGCCATGCATCTCCCGACCGCCTCAGCTACCCCCTTTGGGTAGGGCTGGGCCACAAGCGTCCAAGACTTCCGGTGCACATGCGACCGCCCCCTCAAAGGAAAATGTTGGTGGTCCCTGAAGCACAACGTGGAAAAACCTGCAAGCCGTAGCGTGGTAAGGAATCGAGTTCGCTTCCGCCACGCCATGTGAAATCTGCAGTAGTCGACAATCCACGACTTCACGCCTGACTCCTGTTCCCATTTTGCCCAGACAGCCAGGAGCTAGCGGGGTTTTCCACCCAAAAGGGGATGTGCAGGGCGAAGAGCAGCATGAGAAGCCCCAAAAGCCAACGGGCACGGTCGTTGCCCGAATCAATTTTTGCCTGCATAGTTGGAGAAACATCTGGCTTGCCAAACGGAAACTGCCACGTACGAACTGGGGGTGTGATGGCCTGTGAGAAAGAGCTGCAAACCGGAGCAGCCCCCACGGCCAGGAAGGCCCCAGCCTTGATAAGCCACTCAAGCTTGCGCCTGAGTCGCGGATCCTCCAAGTCTTGCTCAGGTCCATCCTTTATGTCAAAACAAAGGGTCCACACCCCAGAGTGTCTGGACGCGGCAAGGGCAACACCCTTTTCACCGCTGTAAAGATCCAGAAATCCCGGTCTGCAGGGCGGCCAAAAGTCCTCCACCCCAAACACAACCTGCTTGGCCGGGAATTCCGCAAGCCGAGATTGCACCTCGTGCCATGGCACCCGGCAAGACGAAAGGAGGCCCTGTGTGCCGGGCCGGTCAACCTCAAAAGGACCAGCTTCGAGTCTTGGGGTCCTGGGGTTGTCCCCAGCCCTGGCTGTTACTGGGCCGAACAAGGCTCTTGCGGTTGTAGGGTTGGCCCCTTCCCTGGCTGCTTCAAGGCCTGCAGCGGCTCTTGGGGTTGTGGGGTTGGCCCCGTCCCTGGCTGGTTCGCCTACACCACCTACAACGGACCAACCTTTTGTCTCGGAGCCGATCAGCTCAGAAAAATCAGGGAGGCCTGAAAGTGCCCAATCACTGAGGTGGAGTTGCTCCCTCCACACATCAAACGGGCCAAGATCACCCTGACAACAGGCAGCCCACCACTCGGGAGGGTCCGTGCAAGGACCCCGCAAGGGCTGGCCGCGGGTAGGATCATCAGCGGGATTGCAACTGGTCTCAAAATAGACGTACTCGCTGTAGGAGTCAAATGCAAGCATTTCAGGCACTGACCGTTGGAGTACCGCGTTTAACCCAACAGATGAAGATCTCCCTTTAAGGAGGCATCCTAATGCGACCTGAGAGTCAACGCCAAAGAGCTCCCGCCGCGAGGCCTGACGTCTGCACCAAATTGATTCCGCCTTCAGAACAGCCTTCAACTCACCAATGTTGATGTGCCGCTCAGAGTGTGCTTTGCGACTAAAGAGTGGCTGGTATTGCAAACTTTCTGCTAGCACTTGCCAAAGAGGGTTGGACTTGTAGCACTCCTCACCCGAGGGGAGCTCTTCCTCAGGGTTTAGGATCCCATGTGCTCGTTCCCAGGCTCGCCCAGGAGGAAGTAGCTTGGCCCAGACAGACTTCTGCAGCGCAAGACGCGCGACCTCGTTTGCAATGGCACTTGGGAGGGGCGTCCAAACCGCAGCCTCGCCCCAATGACTGGCATCTGACGCAGTGATGCGCCCCGACACGGAAGCCCTCAGGTTTGTAGCTGCGAGCGGCAAGAGCCCGGCAAGGATCAAGAGCTCGGAGCGCGTCCGCCCCGAAAGCTGCACGATGTCCTCCCCGGAGCGCCCCTGCACGGTTTGAAATAGAGCATCCATCAAAGAAAGAAGCCTGCGCCTGTAAAGCAGCAAAGATATCAAAGATCCAATGAGGACTTCCAGCAGCTGAACAGAAGCAAAGCCTAGCCGAGCAACCTTGACCACCAGGGCTGCTGTAGGCACTGCGCGTTTGAGAGAGTCCCGGACAACACCAGTGACACCGTCGAGATCAGCGCCTCAAAATGAAATCTTACTAGCGTCCCTCTCAGCCTTGCCAGAGTGCGGGATAAGGCCAACATCCCAATATAGCTGCTCCATGTCGCTGGCAAGCTGTGAAGCTCGCGTAGGGGCTGCGCTCCCTCTGGGGGTCAGTGACATCGCAATGAAATCATCAATTACAATGCCAACGTAATCAGGACCCCGAGGTAGGGAACCTCGCAGAGATATCAATTCTGCTGGCTGTAAAATCCCGTGCTGTAAGCCGAGCACGACATGGCAAGTCTGAGCAAGTTCCACAGCTTGACAATCTCCCATGGCAAGTGTCTGCAAAGCTCCAAAAAGTTTTGGGTATTGTTTGAGTTCAGGCCTGAAACAGCGTAGATGCGAAACGTCTGCAGAGGAAACTGCTCCAGCCAAAACGTTCCTCCTTGCCCTCTGCTCTGTAACCTTGAAGAGATAATAAAAGTCCCTAAGGTCGTTGGCTGAAACCTTGAGATCAAACCCTAGCGGCAAACAGAGGCGGCACAAAGAAGGTCCAGAAGCCAAAGAGCCAATCCATCTCCCCAAGGGCTGCTCTAACAGATTAGAAGGCCTGGCATCCAAAATCATCCGGTCCTTTTCGAGGTCCTTTACAACACTGAATAATCCCGCAGCAAATCGAGGTCGAACTTCATGTGGTGGCTGTAACGAAGAAGAGCTTGACTTTCTTGTCGTAGGGGCAATGGACCTTGACGTGCGGAATGTCGCCTTGAAACAGCAAGGGGTCAAGGCTCAGACTCCAAGGGTCCCGGAACACTTGTTGAGAAAGTGGATCCAAGTACGGAGTCGGGTCAAAGCTTGGGGTGCCCATGAACTTGAGTCTGCTTGGTTCCAGAGGTTGGAAGGTGCTGAGGGCCATGTGCTGCGCCTTTCCTACGACCTTTCCTGCAGCTCTGCGTTCTCCCGTCTCATGGGGCTTTCCTTTCTGCAAGGGGTGGCTGTAGCCCAAATTCTCTCCCAAGATCTTTGCGGCTTCTTTTTCGAGCTCTGAGATCATGTCCTCGATGCTCTCGACCTTGGACGCATTCCGTCCAAGTTGCGATGGGCCTAGTTGCTCGCAATCTGACCATGCACCAACGAAAACTTTGAACCGCTTGACCGCCTCCCATTGTCGAGAAGACAGCCGCGTCCCCAACTTCAAAGCAGCAGGAGCCCGGCTTGGGCGTTGTAACCAAATGTAATTCAAGACCAACACAACGAAGTTGACGCCGCTCTTGAGGGCAACATCACCCTTGTCGACCCCAGGCCGACCCCGCTGCAACGCCTCCACATAGGGGATGGGCATGGGGAAGATCTCGCCGCAAGGTGCAGTAGCAGGCTCCGACTTGGAGCATTGCTGGAAAACCACAGTACGTGCAAAATGTCCTAGGCGACACTCTGTATCCAGAACCCACCTCCAGAGCACCTTGAAGAAGGCGGCGGGCGCCGCTGAAGGTGGATGCCCGAGCGCCCGGAATTCGAATTGAGGCAAAAAGGCCGGAACCTCCGGAAACGGCATCTCCGCCGGAGGGAACTGCACCAGGAAGCCCGGCAACACTCCCTGGCTGACCGCATGTAGCCGGCCAGGCAGCTTCGCCGCCCCCTCCATCCTGGGCCGGCCCCCCGCTCTTTGCTGTCTTGCCTTTCCCTTTTCCTCGCCCCTTTGGCGATGCGTCGTTGCCCTGTCCTGCCAGGGTCCTCCCCCGACCTTGCCGCCGAGCTTCTTCCGCGCCTCGTGGTAGCTGTCGATGTCCTTGACGTGTGCGAGGAAGACCTCGACCCACCTGGGGTCGTAAAGGACTGTGTGGTGCGTCTCCTGCGGAGAAGGAGGTCGGTGATTGGCGAACGAGTGGAATGGAGGGGGACCTTCCAGAAGACCCACGTTCCCAAGGAGCCACGACCCCCCGTCGATGGCCGCTTGGTCCGATGCAGCTATGAGGAGGCCCGCCTCACGCTTCCCGTCGCAGCACCGTCCGCCAGCGAACCAGATCCGCCGTCCAGGATGGCGTCTAGAGGATCTTGGGGCTTTTTCAACTTGTCGGCGGCGAGGCTCCGAACAACCTTGGTGAGTTGGAGTACGGCCCTGGAAACGTCCTGCTCGGAACCTCTGGCCTCCTCTTCGTCGGCAGCCTCCAGAAGCTCGTCGCTGGACTCGGACAAAGGGTTCTCCTTCACAGGCTTCTTGGCCGGGGTCCGCGGGAGGTCGGTCAGGTTCTTGGGCGCGTTCTGCAAAATGCCCGCGAGCTCGACCAAGTGGGCCTCCGGGATGCCGGCCGCTCTGGCCGACGCCACCACGGCAGGACCCATTTTTCGCAACGCGGCATCCTCCTTCAAGACCGGATCCCGTTTTGCGGAGGGCTGAGCCTGCGGTTGCCGGAGAGCTGAAGGACGAGGTGTCTTTTCTGCTCGAAGTTGAGCTAGTCCAAGCCTGATCTCCTCGAGGGCCCCCTCCAACTGTCCGAGCCTGGACTCCGTGGTGGGGACGTCCCTCTGAGGCTCGGCGGCTAACCCAGACTCGGCGGACAGAAAGCTGAACTTCTCCTCGGCAAGCTCTATCAGGGCCGTTGCGAAAGGGACCAGGGACGGCTCCTCGGACGAGAACTCGTAGTCCACCTCCCACTCTTCGGGGAACTCGACAAGGCTTTCCATCGTGGGGGAGAGGAAGCCGACCCAGACCTTCAGTTGCGAACCTCGGATGGCGCCCTCCTTCATTTCCACCGAGCACGCCGCTACAGAACAGGTCATTGCCCGCCGCAGCGTTCCAGGGGGTAGAAGGCGTTGAGCAACTTGCCGATGCCATACAGCGTGAGGAAGGCAGACCAGCACCGCACCGTCGGAGTCTCCCACGATCACGATGGCGCTGAAGGTGCCGGCCTCAGTATCCACGGGGATTCGACCCAGCTGGTAGTGCAAAATTGTTTGCGACCCAGACCGGACCGCGTAGTCCAAGATGCTGACAAGCTCGCCAGCCTCCGGGACTTCAGCTTCAAACATTGCTCTGATAGCCTGCAGGCCACTTCAGACCTGCAGACGCAACTGCTTCTTTGGCCTCGCGGGAAGAGGGCAGCCCCACAAAGATGGAGTTTTCCGGCGACGCGCCCCGGAAGCACGAGCTCTTGACCTCGCCGAACCGCTCCGCAACCTTCACGGGGTCCTCGTAGCGGTTATTGTACTTGTCCTGGACCACGACGTAGCACCGGGAAGGCAAGTCGATCTTTGACCTCCCTGACACTCCTCGATGACGACCGTCGAGAGCACGCCGAAGGTACAAGCCCACCTCTCGGGCCACCTGAAGGCGATGTTGCCAGGGATCCTTGCCGGTAGCAGAGCTGGAAACCTCAGCACACCCCCGCGGTAGGCCCGAAGGGCCAGGCAAGGGGTCAGGGAATTGAGGCTCCCCGGCAACCAAGCTGAACTCGCTCTCGGTTTCCCCGCTCTTAGGGTTGAGATCCCGAAGCTCCAGCTCCTCCACGCGCGCACGTAGTTCTTGGATTTCTGCTCGCAGTTCCCGTATCTCAGCCAGAACCTCAGCGTTGCAGTGGCCAGACCCGCTGCTCATGCAAGGACCTTGTAGAGCTGTTTGCCGGAATGGTCCCAGCCCAGAGACTGCAGGAAGATGAACCTTCGCCACCTATGCCGGAGAAGCCAGACCAAATCCAACAAGGGCCCCGCACAGATGCCAATGAAGATGCCCAGGAGGATGGACGGAATGTGCCAACCTCGGAGAAGAAGTCGAGATCCAGCACCCCAGCTGCACAGCCAGGTACCAAGATCTCAGGATTCGCAACCACAGCTCGATGCAGCAGACCGAGGAGCACGGACGAGATGGAACCGCTGGCAACGCCAACGGTAACAGTCCTATCCATGCCACTTGATCCGAACAGCTGCACAGATTGCGGGATGACCTGTCATGAGAGCATGACTTCCCTAAACAAATACCGTAACAAATAGCAGAAACCTTTCCCGTTCGGGAGCTGAGTGCAAGACTTTGACCTTCATATAATGCCTTTCACCTTGCCCCCCTCCAACAATCGTGGAAGCTGACGACTGGAGGGTTTTGAAAGACTACTGTCCTCTTGGGGAAGCCCCACTTCCATGTGCCTTGGAAAGAGAGTAAAAAACAAAAGGCAATTCACCCAACTAAAATCAACCAAAAGTCAACCAAAAGTCAACCAACCAACCAAAAAAAAACAAAGTCACCCAAAGAGTCAAACAACCATAGGTGGCCTTTTGAAAAAATAGCTGGCCCTGGTAAATGGAAGAAACCCCACCTAAACCAGTGCCATCTATGTTTCATCAAACTAACCTAAAAAGGACACCTATGCAGCCAACAAAAAAGAAGTTAAAGTCAACCAAAAGTCAACCAACCAACAACAAAAAAGTGAAAATCAACCAAATGTCAACCAACCAACAAAAGAAAGTCACCCAAAAAGTCAAACAACAAAAGTCCACCCACCGACAAAATCTCTCGCCCAAACCAAAGGACCAAAGGACCTGCGCGGGATCGAAACCCAGCTTGGCGCCGGCGCGAAGAAGCAGGCCGCCGGCATCGCCGCATGGAAAGGCATGGCCTGCGCTGGGGCGGCGACATGCGATGGCGGCACTTTTTTTTCCGTTTCCCCCCCCCCGTTTTTGTTTCTTAAATGCTGATAGCCTCCCTCCCAGCAACCTGGCAGTTAGCAACTGTGGTGGAGGACCTGGAAGATCCATTTCCTCTTGGAGGGACCGACTGTCAGGTGCCAAGGTACGCCCCCTGGAAAAAAGGAACAACATGTCCCGTGGTAGAGTCCTTCCGAAACCAGGGGAAACTAAAAACATACCTGGAACCTCAAGCTACCAAGAAGAAAGGAATGGAATTCCCCAATTCATCAAATCCATGAATTTGGGTTCCAATATTCCCCATGTTTAAGTTGGAATTGAGGGTCCAGCCACCCAGTTTTGGGTGCTTTTCCTGCTGGCTATGAACAGCTTTCCTCAATTCCGCGAAGTGGGTTGGCCAAACTTTGCATTTGCCACCAACCCAAAAAGTGACTGAAGTCCGAGTCCCGGACACTCGAAAAGTGAACCCAAGAAATCGCCGGCCCCATCTCCCATCGGTCCCTGGCCTCGATTTGGATGAGCACAGGTCTGCAGTGTGACCACGCCCTTTCGGCTTGCCATGTGCTCGAGCGGCCGCCCCGATCCATCTACGGAGTCCTTCGGACTCGCTGCGCCATCCCGGAGGTCCAGCAGTTGCGTACACATGGGGGGGGTGTCTTTGTTTTAAGGGGGTGTCTCTTTTCAGGGTTCTTGCGTAAACACAGGGGGTGACTGTTTTAGCCGAACCCGGCATGGTTTGAGACAAGCGCCGAAGAGGGGAGCTGCTTCCAACACCTCCATGGGGCTTCCACGCTTTCTACCGGGAACCGCGCAGTGCTCCCGGGCGCAGAGCCCGGTTGCGACAGTCGATGCGTTGCCCACAGGACCTGGAAGCAAAAGGTGATCACCTCTTGGGGCCACTAACATGGGACCAAAACGGGAAAACCAAAAGGTCAAAAGGTCGATTCGCTTTGGGCAACTGAGGACAGTCGATGCGTTGCCCTTCTCTTGCCACCTGACCTTTGCGCACCTTGCGCAATGCTGAGCCCGGACAGCAAGACTTCAAGAGCAATCGCATGCCGTTTAAGTATGACCAAGCACACCATTGCTAGCTACTGCCGCAGGCAAAGGGGGTTCACGCCGTTTTCTGATTATCCTGATTTCTTGTGCATGCCTTCGAATTATCGATTTGTGTTGTCCGGTCTGGCAAAAAACCCGCCTCGAGTGCCGGCGAGTGTCCGAGCCGTAGCAAGGGGGGGTCCCTTGCATGCAGGGCTATGGACACATTTCTACCACACGGGCCATATGCGGAGATGAACTTCCATGGTCACTCGCAAATGTATCCTGGGTGCTCGCTCGAGTCTGGTTCCGTTCAAGGCATCTCTCCGGTGGCCTCTCGAGTCTGTTTCTCCGATCCACTTCCCTAGGCCACAATTTGGGGCTGCACGACTTCCCATTTTTGAAGGCTGGCTTCATTCCCCCAAGGGCGCTCTTGCACCGCGGTCGCGTGGAGGGCGATCGGTTTCGGTCCCAAGAAACGCCTGAAGGGGCCATCCCAGCGGTATGGCCCTTGGGTGACACGCCCAATCCAATGGGCTCGGGTGAGACTGCCAAGGGCCGGCTCAGAGCCTGAAGGGGGAATGGTGTGCCAGCGCTTGTGCCCCCGCCTCCAAACCCCCCCACCCACAAGCTCCTGGAGCTTTCAATGGAAGACCCAGACCCCGGACGTGTTTGGGGTCTCCAAACCTGGCCGCTGGAGGGCCCGAAATCCATCGGGAGCCTCTGGGCACAAAACAAGTCCTTGGACTAGGCGTGCCTGCCCTTTCTAGCTTGGATGTCCGATGCGCCCAGTTAGCAGATGGTCAGCCACTTGGGGTTCAAGCCCCTTATAACAAGCTTGGGGGGCTTAGTGGGTTACAACTAACAACTTAACTTTGCCGAAGATACGGGGTCTTAGAGTAGCTCGTGATTGAGCCCTAGGAAACGCCACCAGTCGGCTGCACCAACTCAGTCGGCTGCATTTAACCTCCGGGAAAAGGGGCTGATGGTCAGTTCCTGGAAACATTGCCCTCTCCTTCACACTCTTGGGCCAATGCTGGTAGAGACCATGCAGCAACACCAAACCCAAAAAACGTCCGGGCGCAACTTGTCAACAGCCCCCGAACCTTTCCGGAAACCCAGCCACCCTAAACCACTCCAGAGTGCCGCACAGCTTTCACCTGGAGAACACTGTTATCTGGGCTGTCCGTTTTCAGATACCCCGCTAAAAGTTTAACGTTTGAGTTACGTAAGGATTGAAATCCAACCACTAAACAGCTAGAAGCCTAAGGAACCGAAATGAACCGAATGGCCGGGAACCACCAAGAATCATCTGAAACGAATTCTCGATTCGCCTACTGGACGACGACCCCGCCCCCGTGACAATTGACGCCTGTGCCCGTACACACAAACAAAAAACTCATGCAGGATCACACCTTAGAAGCCAAACCAACAAACAAAGACGAACGAGTCGCGGAACGTGTTTAGGGCCAGGCTGCTGACATGTTGCATTTGTTTGCTCTTGGGATTCCTCGAGCTATATGCTGCTACTTGTCTTGTTGACGACGGGCCCTTTGAGCGGGGAACCCTGAAAAATTGTGGTTTCCTGTTGCCCCCCCCCCCCCCCGCAGCAACAAAAACAAAAACAACTATTTCAGGGTTCCCAGCCGAACAAATGGGAATTATTGCAACCCAAAGTTAGGGTTGGTGACTTTCCTTTGGCTGAATTCCCACTTCTTAGCGCACGCGACTTGAGCTCACCCTTTCGCCTAGCCCTCGTCCATCTCCTCACCCTCCTCCATGGCTAACCTTGCATCCAGTTTGGGCCATGGCATCCCAAGAAACCAGCCCCTTCCCTCCTTCCAAAAGAAATGGGGGAAACACACAAAGTGGTGTGCCTCTTTGTTTTCCTGGTAAAACCCACAAGACACGGGTACCCTCAAAGAACGCTCAAAGAAAGACGCAGCCAAATGGGAGCTTCATGGCCTCAAACATGGCCTAAAGATGTCTAAAGTTAATTAGCTTTCGCGGGCGCTTTCTTTGTGCCGCAGGAAGTTTGTGTGCAAAAAACCGAGGTTCAGGCCCTAAATGCAAGATAAGGGCGGGTGGGGGGGTCAAGACGTGGCAGCACGAGCGCCGAAAACCCAACGGACTTGGTTACGAAAGCGCGCCCGCGCCGTCACCAGCAACATCCCACAACAGCACCCGCATCGTCACCTGAAAACAGCATCTGCACTGTTGGAGAGTTTTGTCCGTGCTCACATCTCTATAGAGGTGTTACATGGCTCCTGGCTGGAACAAGTGAAAGGTGAGACGAAGTCTTCTGGGGACTTGATCGACCCCACAGCCATATGCACGTTTTGGTTGTTCTATGATAGACACGAAGAAGTGGTTTGGTCCACCTCCAGAGGCGCAGAATGTCCAGTTCTCTCAAACGAGGAAACCCCTTCGAAGGGACAAACAACCTGGGCCAAGAACTGAAAATACATGCTTTTACTCGGTTGCTTTCTGCTCCCCTACTACAAGTGACTAACTTTTAGTGGTTTAGTGGAAAACCAATTAGTTGGCAAAAAGTTAGTCCTAACAGCCAAGCAAAATGCACCAAAGTTTTCTTGATGCTGACGACAGAATCTGAAGTGTCTTAATGCTGCCCCACAACCCCATTCTGCTGTAATTTGGGCCCTTACCCTTCTTCCCACTAATCACCTGTGGAAGGTCAATTTCCTCTTGAAAACAACCCCCCCGCTACAGCTACCGGTCGCGCTTTTAGCAACATGGGCCACCTTGCTGCTACCTGATCGCGGCGCGGGGGCTTGCCTGAGGTACTGATCTGCACACCATCTATGCCAGGCGGTGCAATTCGGATTTTCCATCTGCTCCTGGCGAAGGAACTCGCCGAGACGAGTCGCTCGGCGGATTGAAGGTGGTAAGATCCGAAATCAAAGCGCAAGCCTGTGCGTCTAGCTTCCGTGTCTTGGGAGATTGCATGTTTTGGAGGGCCCTTTTGCGAGGAGCCTTGGTAATTTGCGAGGGGTAAGGGCTAACCTGGCAACCTTTCCCAGGCCCCCCTCCCCCGAAAAAAAAAATGGACAAAGAAGGCAAACACATTGAACATAAATTTCCCCACTGGATGTGTAAAAGAAAGCAGCCAAAATCGCACGCATCTCCTTGACCAGGCTTAGACCCTGCAACAAGTGTTCTTTATTTGCCTGGTTGAAAGGCAAAATGCATGGAATCCATTAAAGGCGAAATAAGACTTTGGTCTGTTACCATGTCTTTGCAATCCTCCGATCGGTATGCAGCTCCCGAACCCTTCCTGCAAGGCAAAACATGGATATCCCTGGCTCCCGAGTCCGGCTCAACCACACTGCACCGAACTCCGGATTTTTGAGCTGTCAGGTACACGATCCTTTCCCTTTTCCTCGAGGATTTGTGGCTTCCTTGCCCTTTCCCCCTCTTGTGGTGACATTTCCGCTTCGCTTGCAGTTGCCGGGTTTTAAGCCGTCGGGTTCTGCCTGGTCGCAAGTTTTGGGGCTAGTCCCAGAATGGGTTTGAGCCTGTCTGTCTCTTTTTAGCGAGCGCAAGGCATAGCCGGCCGGGGCTCTAGCTGTGGCGGTACCGGTGATCGCAACATTTGGGGCCGAACCAGTGGCCCAAACCGGCGCGAATGGCTCGCTGGCGCATGGAACATGGATCGCATGGCTCGCATGGCGCAGGGTTCTGGTCTCCTGCTTCGCTTGGAAGGGGTCCCGGTTCTCGAAGGCCATGAACTTGTTCAGCGACCTAAGCCGAAGGAGCCAGGCGCAAAAAATCTGGGGAGGACAGTCGGGTCGGGGAGGGGAAAAAAGGTGGGCATTGCACACTCCACAATGCTCAACCGCAAAATTGGGGGGTTGAGCAATATTCCATTAAGGAACACCCCCAAATGACCATAGGCATCTGTTCCCATTTAGTGCATTTGTTGAGTTGGTTTCCCCAATGGTCATCCCACGTGCAGGACCTTTTGATCAAGCCCAAATGGAAATCGGAAGCCCCTCTTTCCCTCCGGAACCTTGATTGAAATCTGCTAACCACCCCGGAGCCTATCCGAGAGACCTATCATAAATTTCAGCTGCTCGGGAAAAAGCGGGCTGGGGAGGATTGGCGGGGGAGGCGTGCTCTTTGGGTCGTTGGGGTACGGTTGGTGTTTTCTCTTCCTTTGGTTGGAAAATTATTATGGCTAGTTTCAGTTTGAGGGTCCAGGTATCTTCCAAACGGAAGATACAACATAGGATCCAGGGCAAAACCGGCTGCGGGAAAAATTGAGTTCCGCCCTTGCCTGACTCCGAGCGGTTTCGAACATATGGAAGCTTTAGCTTCCGTTTGAAGCGCTTCAAACGTGACTCTCCTTCGGCAAAAGCGCGCACGGCTCCCGCGCCCTTCACCGGGCGAAACGGCACGTGGCTTGCGCCGCCGCCATTTTTGTCTTGCTGGTTTGATAGGCGGGGAATGAGAAATGGCTCATGACCCTGCTATAAACCATCCCCGAGTTGGTTCCCTTGGGAAATCCAAACAAAACGCGGTTCATTCAACCACCCGGAAGCTCGGAACGTCGTTCCCCAGCATAGGTGTCCTTTGCTCAATATAGATGGCCCTGGAACCCATCTAAACAAGGGCCATGTGTATTACTAACCCACAACCAAAAAAAATCACCAAAAAAACGGCCATCTAACCAAACACGTGTGTTTAGTTTGTTTCTGACCAGCAAAAACCACTAAAAAGGACGCCGATGTTCCCTCCCCATCGCACCGATCGCAAGCTTTTTCGCCGCTTTTCGCTTCCGGTCACATCACCCGGCACTGGCCATCCGACGAAGCCGCCGCCGCCGCCGCCTTGGCCGCCGGCTTGGCGCCCGGCTTAGCGGCCGCCTGGCCGACGAAGGTTGACTTGGGTCTGTCGTTTCTTGGAGTTGGCACCCCCATAGTTGCGTGGGATTAAAGGGAGCAGAAAGTAAACCACAATAAACCACAATTTGTGAAGCCTTTTCTCCAGGACCCCATTGTTGGATGGTTTGTGAAGTCTTTTCCCCAGGACCCCATTTTTTGGATGGTTTGTGAAGTCTTTTCTCCAGGACCCCATTTTTGGATGGTTTTACCGGGGAACCAACAGGAAAACCACCTTGTTTTTTTGAGGCGGGGGGTCGCCTAAGAAAAAGCCACACACACACACACACACACACACACACACACACACACACGCACACCCTTCCATGATTGGACAGAGGGTAGCCCACTTGTTCATGAAGGTTGAACATCCAGAACCTTCCACCTGCCCCCACATGGTCACAAACCAGTTTTCTTCCCTTGTCTGGCCTTATTCCCACGCAAAGCTGCCCCAATCCGCAAGATCTGTAGATGCGTGTGGCTCAAAATTAAAGAGCCGGGGTTACGCAGGTTTTAGTCTTGGGTTCCATTGCCACGGTGTCATTTTGGGCTCCATGTTTTTGAGCCACCAGATCTCTGCTCCTCTCGAGCCCCCCAAACAAACGAGCATCGCCTCGGTATGGTGGCAACAACTCACTTGCCAAGCCACCAACACAAAAAAAAAAAAAAAAGCCAAGCTCCCCCCCCACCGCTGCCAGCTCGCCTTGGCCTTGCTCCGCGCCGCAGGCTGAAAGCTCTCCCTGAGCGCCACGCCCTGACACACCAGCTCCGTGTCCTTCCCCACCCCTCCGCCCTCCGTGGGCCGCGTGGAGATCACCTCAAGCGAGCGCCAGCGAGCGACCGGTTCCCGGCTCCCCAAGCACGGCCAAAGTGGACACTTGGCATTTCGGGCCTGCAGCTTCTTGGTTGCTGCAACGACCCCTCTGCAAAAAGTTTCTCACTTTTTGTGGGTTCCATGGAAAACGCTTGACTTCGCAAAAAGTTAAAGTCTAAAGATCCAACCCAACAGCAATCAAGGTTTCAGGTGGCCTTTGGGGGTCACTCCCAAAGGAAAACACACCCAAGTTCAGCTTTTTCCGGTTTTGCTGCGCTTGGAGCCGAATCGGTGGTTTCGTGGGTAAGGAGGGGTTCCCCATTTACCCTCTACAAGAACTTCTGGACCGCCTGAATTCATAAGCCTGGGGGTATCCCCAACAGCCCCGGAACCCCACAGCAACTGAATCTTCGGAAGCCTCCTGAAAGCTGCCCCAAACCACCCCAATGCTTATTTGGGCATTGCAGCTCTTGGGGGGGAAACGACCACCGTCAGGACGAAATCCGGCACCTCAGAACCCCTGGAATGATATGCTTCCCAAGCGTTATGGTTTCGAAGTGGTTTTCATGATTTCGTCCATCCACTGTAGGTTGGAGGAAGTGGAAGTGGCAAAGGGGAAATATTTGGGCATTGCAGCTTTTGGGCAAACTACTCCAAGCTTATTTGGAACCCTCCCTGAAAGCAGCAGGGGATATCCGGCCAAGTGCTTGGGCCAAATCTCGCCTTGAACTTCACCCCCTGGATCTCCAGCACATCGTTGGCCTTCACCGTGGCGCTCCGCTGCCCAAAGTAGGGCCGCAAAAAGTCGCGCAGCAGCGCCGCCTGCCAATCAGTCCAAACAAACCGACGGCTACATACATACGTAACGTACGTACGTACGTAGGTAGGTAGGTAGGTATGTACGTATGTATGTATGTATGTATGTATGTATGTATGTATGTATGTATGTATGTACGTATGTACGTACGTACGTACGTAAGTATGCGTATATGCATGTGTATATGTATATAGTACTTTCATACAATGCATACATGGCTGTAGATATGCACCTGCAGCTGTATGTACATACATGCGCTTACGTATTCAGATTTGTTGACACATGTATATGCACATCTTTATGCATCTGTTTCCATACATGCAGGTGCTTGGTTTAAGGCGAAACCAACAAGACAACCACGATGTCCGCTCCCCCCCTCCCCCCCGCTTCCTGAGTGAATTGGCGAAAAAGGCTTCCCTGACCCTATTTGGCGATTTCCCAATGGGCAAGCCATGGGGCAAGCCATGCACGAGCTGAAGCATCTCAGCCTAGTCCAGGAGTGACGGCTCGAACACCGACTCGGCAACTCGGCGACTCTTTCCCCTTGGCCGTACCGGCGATTTCTTTGAAAGCGACTCGGGGGCGGGGGAACGGGTCTGGCTTCGGAGGCTGGGGGCTGCATTGGGGTCAGGTGACCTGTTGCTAAAAAGAAAAAAACAAAAACGGATGGCTTTTCCCTGGTACATGGATGGCCCAAATCCATCTAAACCAGGGGGACCCGTTGACTGCCAGTCCCAAACCCACCGATCACAAGGCCACCTACGAGGGCCCCCCCCCCGGCCCCAACTCAGCAGGCATCCGACCAACAACAAAACACCAACCAGAACGCCTCGTCCAAAGATAACTTGCTGGGCCGGTACTTCTCCGGCAGGCCTCGGCTCGGCTTTCTTTCCAACAAAAACCTGGCAATGGTGCTCCGTTGGACCTTTGGGGCTGTTTCTTTTTTGGGGGTGACGCCCCATTTAAGCTTTTTCACCCTTGGAACATACTTCTTGCTTGCCCCTAGACTGGTCTTCCCGCAAACTGACGACAAGTTTCCGCAGGCACCAGTTGGGATGGACGAATATGGACGATTCCCTGTGAATGTTGGGGCAAAGCCACGTACCGACTGTCCATCAACACTTGGTTGCTTTCTGCTTCCCTGCCAAAAGTTTAACTTTTAGTGGTTTAAGGATTGGAAAACCCATTAGTTGGCAAAAAAAAAAGTCCGACATCCAAGCAAAATGCACCAAAGAACAGTAGACAGCCTCTATGAGTCCAGAGGTTCCATCGAAACGCACCAGGCCCACGCGCTAACCTACTGGAATCAACAGATGAGCTTTTCTTTCAGAAGCACTGGCATCCGTGCCTAGCAGTACGCTTCCTCCCACACGTCATTCGAGGGAGGGTGAGGTTGCGACCCAAAACTCCCAAACTATGGTTGGTGCATTCCCTTGCCTTTTTGTTGGTAATTATTTCGGGTCGGGCACTTTGATCCGGGGTTTTCACGGGTTACACCGGATCAAACATCAAATAGGGCTGGCTGGCTCCCACGCCCCCCAACCACCCCCCCGGAGGTGCATGGGATATACAACCACCGGAAATCGCTAGATGAAAAGCCCAAAGTAGTGGTGGTCCTTTTCCAGGCCCTCCAGTGGAGAGGTTAGAATTTTGGGTACCAACATTTTTTTCTGTTTTTGTCTATTTTAGTAGGGGAACCCTCCCCCAAAAGCTGGGTGGATTAAGGACACTGGGGCACCTTGCTTTGGTTTCTTGCAACCCCGGGCCAAGATGCCGTCCTCAAAGGGCAGCGCGTGCAATCGCTCCAGCACCTTCCGCTCGATCTCCGGGCCCTCGTAGAAGATCTCGGTACTCTGACCCGCCACCCCGTAGCCGTCCTGCGACGATGCGACCAAAACCAGGGATCCGTACATTGTACACCCGAACATTGCCTTGTACATGGTGGTTTCCCTTAATTTTGGTGGAAAAAGCCATCTTTCAAATGCGCAAAGTGTATCTTGTAAGGAGCCCTGAAAACGGATTCGGCCGAATGCCCGGAATGCGAAGGGAAAATGGCAGGGGGCGGGGTCAGCTGACAAAGAGGATACCTAGAAACATCTTGCAATACAAAAAAACGAAAAGAGGCGAATCATGTCGAAACATTTTGAACAACGGAGCCTGTGGCATAAGGGAACCAACTGCCGGGAAGGGTCCTTTTTTTGAGACACCCATATGTTGCCGTGCAGCTTCTCACGAACGCGTGGTAACAGAAGATGAGCTACGTCCAATGTGACGCTGTAGCACCAAAGCAAATTGCCAAGAAACACCGCCAGACTGGCGGGGGGGTCCAATCAAGAACATCACCCAGACCTGCTCGGATTCAGGGACACACGGGCGCACCAAGAAATCTATGTGGTGAAACTTTGTCCATTTCTGCCTTGGCCAGTCAGTGCTGGAAGCAATCCGTACCTGGTGTGTGTCAAACTGGGGCCCAAACTTTAAATGGCGGGTTTCCCGTGGGCTTCCCTTTCAACGCAGCTCAAAAACCCCTTGTCACCAATTGATGGTTTGGTTTGGTGCTTGGACGTCGGGACTTGGCGTCAAAAGGAGCTGGGGTTCAAACCCCCACACCACCACCAAGCACTAACTAAGGGGTATTTGAACAAAGGGCCCCAACTCAAAAAACACAAGCCCTTTGCAAAGTTGAGCCATCTGTTGAGCCGTGGGCTTACGAAAAAATCTGGACAACCCAGCCCCACCCATCCCCCCCCCCCGTCCTCGGGCAACACGCCCACCACCTGGAGTCACGCGACTCAAGCCTTAACAAGTTGAAACCACTGCTGTTTGAAGAACGTCGTTGGGTTCCCCCTTAGCATGGGGGGCCACACGAAAAATGTTAAGACCATGAAATAGTTGTTGAGACAGTCGGCTCCAGAAAAACGTTTTGGGATCGGAGGCTGCTGGTTTTCAGGCGGCGAGGTTGCTTCGATCGAATTTTGCGGGCCTGCCTGGAACCTCACGCCATCATGGGAGAAGTCGAAACCCTTCGTGAACTCCCCGACCTGACTCGACTGGAAGTAGGGCACAATGTGGTTGTGGTACCTTCGCAGCCAGTGGGGCGCCCGTTTTTTGGCCAAAGGCAAACATGTGTTACTTGGAACAATCCCCACCTAAGAAATGTGCAAGCAGGCACCAAAGAGTCGATCCGACTGCGTGGGACTCAAGCATGCTGCCGGCTGACGTGACGGCAACAAATCTCAGCTAAACGGAACCACCGTTGCTGCAATCACGCTTCCTGTTTGGTGGAGATGCCCTGTGCAAGGACACATCATCTGTAGCCCCAAGATCCAACTACATCGGCTGAGAGCAGCTGAAAACCGGCTGCGCTGAACATGTGGGTGAAAGGTTGGCAACTGGTCTTGTGGCTCAGCATAGCTTCGGCGGCCGCGCGTCTTTCCCTGCGTAAGCCGCAATTACATGCCCCTTTGCCACAAACAAACAAACAAAACAAACCAAAGCTTCCGAGAATGCGGCGGAACTTGTCGTCAATTAATACGCCTGGTTGCGGTCCAATCCGACTCCCAGGGCTGTTCATGCCATTCAGGACACAGACCTCTTTACCCAGCTGGCTCGCCAAATCGCAGTGCCTGGGCTCTCCGCCACACGCCACCAAGACAGCGCCAAAAATCCGCATGCTGTCGGCGCACAGCAGAGATGTGCCCAACTCCGCGTCCATTGCGCCAAACAACTCATTCAGCAGAGGCGCCCCAGGAGCACCAAGGAAAGTCCTCTTGGAAGCGCTGAAGCATTTCGCCAGAAACGCCCAGACCCGCAAATATCCGCAACGCAACTTGCCTCTCGTCACACGCGCGTCTAAATTTGACTCTGACGCAACAAAAGGCCAAAAAAAACCATCGCGCCCAAGTGTGGAACCAACACAAAGCTCTGAACATGCCAATCTGACCACCCAATCATCTTACCGGTTTTCTCTATTGCGGCTAACTGCTCCGAGTCACAAGCACACAACGGTATCATGTCACTCTGCGCTTTGCAACGCGCAGCAAGCCCTACACAAGGCATTTCTGAGAGGGTTGCTACACAACAGTTCAACACAGCGGGCATGAGGTCATCCCGAGAGTTTTGCGCTGGGGTGTCGGACGCGAGCCACGTGACTTCTTGCGCGGAAACGCTGAACAAACGCAAGAGCACTGCAAAAAGCTTCGTCAGACTCGCGCGCAGGCAGCCTGTCTGGCACTGTGCCAAGAAGCAAGCGCGTGCGGCCAGCAATTCTCAAGATTATCAACGGCAGCCTCTTGCAACTCTGTCTCCTGAGGGCTGAGAGTGCACAGCCCCAGTTGCAACAATTGTGAAGAGCTGCTCATGAATCGGGACGGCGATGTCTTGGAAGAAGAATGCGTTGCACTGCTTCTTCGCCGTGGGATTGCCGCGCCCCAAACAACATCAAGAACTGCCGGGCTAACCCAACTTGCTTGGTGTGAATGAGTTGCCCCCCCAGAAATTTTTGAAAACGTCAAGTTGCCCCATGAACACAAAATGCACATTTTCCACGGCAGCTCCATGGAGTGGGGTCGGGAACTGACTTGGCAGGGCTTGGCGGAGTTGCCGCTGTCTTCAAAGCCTTCTCCCTATCTGGCCGATTGCTCCAGGAGAAGTCGCTGCCATGAGCTGCGTTCAAGAACAAGGGCAAGCCCACGAGCTTTGCAGTGTCTGTCCTGCCCCCGCTGGCCAAGGCAGGGGACAAACACATGCCGCCCTCGTCACTACAACGCGTTACTTCGAGGCGCGTTGGCTTGCGCTTGACTTTGGCAAGTCACGCGCACGAACTGCATAATAAGGCACACGCTGACACACGTAGTGACCGGAGATACAGGAGCTTCCAATGTTGCACACGCTAGCCCACACTAGCTCTCAGCACTTCTCGTCTCAACGCAGCGCAAGGGCAACACATTGGGTGTTAATGCGCGCGTGCTGCTGCGCTCTGCATGCGCTCTGCGAGGTAGGGCTCTTCACAGGTGGACGCGCCCATGCGACATTCAGATTCCAAACCGGAACTCGGCGCTTGGGCGCCGCGGAGTTTGCCCTGCGCGTCTAAAAACAAGTCCCAGGGCCAGCCGACGGCTCCCAAACGCACTATACTATAGGCTGTGTGAAAAAATGAATCAGACCCCCAGAATAGTGGTTTCTCCTTGGGCTTCCCATAAGAACCAACAAGTGGCAGGCTTCAAAAGCTCACGTACTCATATATCTGAAGGTTGGCTCCCCATTCTCTTCAGAAGCAACACATCTTCCACATTTGGTCCGTTGTTTGAAGAGAAGGGTCCCTGAACAAAAGCGTCTCCTCTGGAAAGTGGCACTTTATGTTCTGTTGCATCGACTGTCTTTGCAAGGTACCTGGGGCTCTGAGCTGAGGTGCGTATGTGTCGTGGTGTCACGCCTCTTGTAGAAAGACCGCTCGCCACTCTGCCCTTTCGTTCAGGAGCAGTAGCAAAAGTTCAGCAGCCATATCGGCGGAAGTTCTTCCCCACAGAAAGCTTGCCAACCCTAACAAGCACGCACTTCCAGATAGAATCCAAAGTTTGTTCTTCTGACCCGTCAAAGGTCCTGTAACAATGGTTTTTGGAGAGCAACAAGATTTTGGCACCGAAGAAAATCCCTTGCTCCGTCAGAAAAAAAAACAACCCAAAGACTCTCAGGCACTGCAGCAACTCGGGAACACACAAAATGTTGGAACATGTCCGAGCAATTCGAACACAAATGACTGCAATTCAATCTCTGCCGGGCCAGTAAAATCGCATTTTACAGCTTTTCTCGCGAAATTGACGCATTTCACACTAGCCCGTCAACATCCCCAGCATCGTTTTCAACATCCCCCGCATGTCCGACCAACATCCCTGGCATCACCAACAAATCGTGTGACGGGGTCAAAGAAATGATGATTCAAGTAGGAGGGCGTTTCATCCCTGCAAAAAAACACACTAAAAAGTAGCGGGGGGGTTGGGGGGGGCTGCCCCCATGATGATTGAAGAATTGATGATTCAACTAGGGGTGCAATTAATTAAATCTCTGTAGAAAATCTAAAACGTAGCGGGGGGATTGGGGGGCACCGCCCCCGCCCATGATGCCGGAAGAAGTGATGATTCAAGTAGGGGTGCAATGATTCAAGAAAGGGCGTGATAGAATTTAAAGGGCAGCGGGGGGTGGCTTCCCCTATGATGCATACAGACAACAATGGATTACACAGATTACCTAAAATGGTGTATTTTGCAGCATTTTCTCGCGAAATTGCACGCTCGAAAAAGTGATGATTCAAACAGGGGTGCAATTCAATCTCTGCAAGAAATCTAAAAAGAAACGGGGGGGGAGGCGGCAACCCCCCCCATGATGTTTGAAGAAGAGTTGATTCAAATTGGGGTGCAAGTACTCTGCAAACAATCTAAACAGTAGCAGGTGGGTTGGGGGGGAAGTGATGATTTCAAAATAGGGGTGGTGGTGATGCTGACCATAGGGGGAAGCCAAATCCAAAAAACAATAGCCAAAAAGCCCGAAGGATGCGAAAAAAAGCCAAAGAAGCCGCCCGCCAAAAGCCGCACAAAACCCGCGAAAAGCCGCAAAAGCCAAAGCGCCACCTGCCAAGAAAGGAACGGGAATGCAGCTTGAGCCCTGTCTGGGCCAACGCGCTGACGACAATCCGACTTTGGGAGGGCTCCCTTCACTGCTGCCGTCTCCCCGCTCCTTCACCGCCATTGCAAGGCCCAAGACAAGCCAAATCAAGCCAACTAGCCCCACCTCTAACCTCGAAAAGAACCCTGAATCACTAAAACCGCCCATTTGGCAGGATTGGCAGGGATCATCGGCCACAAGGGGTTAAAGGCTCCTCTTGTGTGGCAGGGGCCAATCAAATTTGAAGGGGGTCTAAGGCACATGACGGACAGAAGCCTCAGGCTTTGGACTGTCTGTCAACAAACTCCGTCAGAGAGCTGTCCCCATCTGTCTGCCACAGGCTCCGCAGCTGTCTGTGACGGGCTCTATCGGCGGGAGGGCTGGGGCGCGGGGCTGTGGCGGCCAGACGTCACTTTAAAATCTAGCAACCCCAAACCATCCTGGTGCTCAGCAGGGCATTGCGGGAATGAGCCCAGGGGTCCCCATCAAGCTCCTCTGCGGGATTTAAGGTGACCAAAATTGACAAAGACTGCCGCGCCCGCGCCTTCGACTTAAGTTCTTGTTTTGCTCTTCCCACGTTTCTTTTCTTGCTGGTGCTCAGTAGTGAATGAGGACCTTCCGGGTGTTCTTGGGCTCAAGTGGATGTGGGTCAAAAACAGGACCCAAATGGAACCCTGCCAAAGAAAACCTTGGACAAAAACCCTGTGGTTGGTGGTTCAACTTTGACCCATACCAAAGGGCAGATCCCACGAGTGAAACACCCATTCGCCTCCATGGTAACTGGAAGCAGGCCAAGCCCCGGAAGAGGAAAAACCACACTTTTCCAGGCGCCGAATCGGATCTTGCGATCTAAGGACAATCTTTTGAAAGGTGCTCCCGAAAAGCAAGGGGCCACAACCTGCAGAACGGAAGGGCCCCATTTCAAACTTTCCAACTTTCCATCTCAAGCGGTATGGTAGCAAAACTTTATTTTGTGCAGCCCCCCCTTTTGACCTAAAAGCATACCAACAACGTTCAGAGCTACCAAGTGCATGTGGCGAAGTTGTACTTGAATGTGTTCCTGGGCCAGGATGGCCAACTTGGCCGACTTGAGAAGTCGGAATTGCCAACAATGACCCAAAACTGGAGTGTTTCTTAAAACGCCTCCATCTCCGTCATTATTTATCGTAGCTCTTTAACGTCTTTAACGGGATTCCTCCAAGTGGGGTCACCAGGAAGTTTTGGTTGGGACTGCTGGACCCCCACATCGCCATCTTTGAACTGGCTGCGTTGGCTGCTTTTTCGCCAAATGCTTTTTTTCGCCACGCCCTGTGCAAGGAACCGTTGGGGCCCCCTTCAATCGCATGCCCCACAAAGGTTGGATCGAATCGATGGTCGATAGTCCAGAGCTTGATGTCGTAGCACTACCTGCCCCAAACTTGTTGAGCGCCACGGATTGGCATTCCCTTCCCAATCCAGAAGTGGGCTACGGATTAGCAAGCAAATGCCCCAAACGCGGTGAGCGCCTTCATCCCAATCAAACAAATCGCAACTGGCAACCCCGTATTTACGAAAGCTCTGCTTGTAGGTAGATGGCGCGGTTGGTGACAGCATTGAACCTTCGGCCGTTTTTTTGGGGGGACGTCTCTCCCCCAATAATTCACTGGGTCTAATTGAATCCGGGGCTTCACATCAAAGCGACCAACTCGACCAGGAATCAGCTCCTTGTATGGACAGGACATGGATCTTCGTCAAGACCTGCAGCACCTCCGTGACAAAATTGGCTCCCGTTGACCCAGGATGCAGCACCTCCGGACAAAACCCTGGCTCCGTTGACCCAGGATAAACCCGTCCCATTCTTAGGAGGGTTTTCAAACCCCTCCAAAAGTGGTCGGAATCCCCTATTCATCAACCAGGGGGTTTTTTTTTTTTTTTTTTTTTTTTAAAAAAAAAAAAAAATAACAAAAAAAAAAAAAAAAAAAAAAAAAAAAAAAAAAAATTTTTATTTTTTTTTTTTTTTTTTTTTTTTTTTTTTTTTTTTTTTGTTATTTTTTTTTTTTTTTTTTTTTTTTTTTAAAAAAAAAGTAAAACCCCTGGTTGATGAATAGGGGATTCCGACCACTTTTTGGAGGGGTTTGAAAACCCTCCTAAGAATGGGACGGGTTATCCTGGGTCAACGGGAGCCAATTTTGTCACGGAGGTGCTGCAGGTCTTGACGAAGATCCATGTCCTGCCATACAAGGAGCTGATTCCTGGTCGAGTTGGTCGCTTTGATGTGAAGCCCCGGATTCAATTAGACCCAGTGAATTATTGGGGGAGAGACGTCCCCCCAAAAAACGGCCGAAGGTTCAATGCTGTCCACCAACCCGCCAATCTAACTCAAGCAGAGCTTTCGTAAATACGGGGTTGCCAGTTGCGATTTGTTTGATTGGGAATGAAGGCGCTCACCGCGTTTGGGGCATTTGCTTGCTAATCCGTAGCCCACTTCTGGATTGGGAAGGGAATGCCAATCCGTGGCGCTCAACAAGTTTGGGGCAGGTAGTGCTACGACATCAAGCTCTGGACTATCGACCATCGATTCGATCCAACCTTTGTGGGGCATGCGATTGAAGGGGGCCAACGGTTCCTTGCACAGGGCGTGGCGAAAAGCATTTGGCGAAAAGCAGCCAACGCAGCCAGTTCAAAGATGGCGATGTGGGGGTCCAGCAGTCCCAACCAAAACTTCCTGTGACCCCACTTGGAGGAATCCGTTAAAGACGTTAAAGAGCTACGATAAATAATGACGGAGATGGAGGCGTTTAAGAAACACTCCAGTTTGGGTCATTGTTGGCAATTCCGACTTCTCAAGTCGGCCAAGTTGGCCATCCTGGCCCAGGACACATTCAAGTACAACTTCGACCACATGCACCTTGGTAGCTCTGAACGTTGTTGGTATGCTTTTAGGTCAAAGGGGGGGGCTGCACAAAATAAAGTTTTGCTACCATACCGCTTGAGATGGAAAGTTGGAAAGTTTGAAATGGGGCCCTTCCGTTCTGCAGGTTGTGGCCCCTTGCTTTTCGGGAGCACCTTTCAAAAGATTGTCCTTAGATCGCAAGATCCGATTCGGCGCCTGGAAAAGTGTGGTTTCCTCTTCCGGGGCTTGGCCTGCTTCCAGTTACCATGGTAGGCGAATGGGTGTTTCACTCGTGGGATCTGCCCTTTGGTATGGGTCAAAGTTGAACCACCAGACCACAGGGTTTTTGTCCAAGGTTTCTTTGGCAGGGTTCCATTTGGGTCCTGTTTTTGACCCACAGCCACTTGAGCCCAAGAACACCCGGAAGGTCCTCATTCACTACTGAGCACCAGCAAGAAACGTGGGAAGAGCAAAACAAGAACTTAAGTCGAAGGCGCGGGCGCGCAGCCTTTGTCAATTTTGTCACCTTAAATCCGCAGAGGAGCTTGAAGGGGACCCCTGGGCTCATTCCCGCATGCCCTGCTGAGCACCAGGATGGTTTGGGGTTGCTAGATTTTAAAGTGACGTCTGGCCGCCACAGCCAGCCCGCCCGCCGATAGAGCCCGTCACAGACAGCTGCGGAGCCTGTGGCAGACAGATGGGACAGCTCTGACGGAGTTTGTGACAGACAGTCCAAAGCCTGAGGCTTCTGTCCGTCATGTGCCTTAGACCCCCTTCAAATTTTTGATTGGCCCTGCCACACAAGAGGAGCCTTTAACCCCTTGTGGCCGATGATCCCTGCCAATCCTGCCAATGGGCGGTTTTAGTGATTCAGGAGTTCTTTTCGAGGTTAGAGGTGGGGCTAGTTGGCTTGATTTGGCTTGTCTTGGGTCCTTGCAATGGCGGTGAAGGAGCTCGGGGAGACGGCAGCAGTGAAGGGAGCCCTCCCAAAGTCGGATTGTCGTCAGCGCGTTGGCCCAGACAGGCTCAAGCTGCATTCCCAGTTCCTCTTCGGCAGGTGGCGCTTTGGCTTTTGCGGCTTTTCGCAGGTTTGTGCGGCTTTTGGCGGCTTTGGCTTTTCGCATCCTTCGGGCTTTTTGGCTATTGTTTTTTGGATTTGGCTTCCCGCATGGTCAGCATCACCACCACCCTATTTGAATCATCACTTCCCCCAACCCACCTGCTACTGTTTAGATTGTTTGCAGAGTACTTGCACCCCAATTTGAATCAACTCTTCTTCAAACATCATGGGGGGGGTTGCCGCCTCCCCCCCCGTTTCTTTTTAGATTTCTTGCAGAGATTGAATTGCACCCCTGTTTGAATCATCACTTTTTCGAGCGTGCAATTTCGCGAGAAAATGCTGCAAAATACACCATTTTAGGTAATCTGTGTAATCCATTGTTGTCTGTATGCATCATAGGGGAAGCCACCCCCCGCTGCCCTTTAAATTCTATCACGCCCTTTCTTGAATCATTGCACCCCTACTTGAATCATCACTTCTTCCGGCATCATGGGCGGGGGCGGTGCCCCCCAATCCCCCCGCTACGTTTTAGATTTTCTACAGAGATTTAATTAATTGCACCCCTAGTTGAATCATCAATTCTTCAATCATCATGGGGGCAGCCCCCCCCCAACCCCCCCCGCTACTTTTTAGTGTGTTTTTTTGCAGGGATGAAACGCCCTCCCTCCTTGAATCCATCATCTTTCTTTGACCCACGTCACACGCTTTGTTGGTGATGCCAGGGGATTGTTGGTCGGACATGCGGGGGATGTTGAAAACGATGCTGGGGATGTTGACGGGCTAGTGTGAAATGCAATATTTCGGAGAAGAAGGGGGGAAAAAGCGAGAAAAGCTGTAAAATGCGATTTTACTGGCCCGGCAGAAGATTGAATTGCAGTCATTTGTGTTCGAATTGCTAGGACATGTTCCAACATTTTGTGTGTTCCCGAGTTGCTGCAGTGCCTGAGAGTCTTTGGGCATTTGTTTTTTTTTCTGACCAGCAAGGGATTTTCCTTCGCCCCCAAAATAGAGTGTTGCTCTCCAAAAACCATTGTTACAGGACCTTTGACGGGTCAGAAGAACAAACTTTGGATTCTATCTGGAAGTGCGTGCTTGTTAGGGTTGGCAAGCTTTCTGTGGGGAAGAACCTTCCGCCGATATGGCTGGCTGAACTTTTGCTACTGCTCCTGAACAAAGGGCAGAGTGGCGAGCGGTCTTTCTACAAGAGGCGTGACACCACGACACATACGCACCTCAGCTCAGAGCCCCAGGTACCTTGCAAAGACAGTCGATGCAACAGAACATAAAGTGCCACTTTCCAGAGGAGACGCTTTTGTTCAGGGACCCTTCTTCTTCAAACAACGGACCAAATGTGGAAGATGTGTTGCTTCTGAAGAGAATGGGGAGCCAACCTTCAGATATATGAGTACGTGAGCTTTTGAAGCCTGCCACTTGTTGGTCTTATGGGAAGCCCCAAGGAGAAACCACTATTTGGGGGTCTTGATTCATTTTTTCACACAGCCTATAGTATAGTGCGTTTGGGAGCCGTCGGCTGGCCCTGGGACTTGTTTTTTTAGACGCGCAGGGCAAAAACTCCGCGGCGCCCAAGCGCCGAGTTCCGGTTTGGAATCTGAATGTCGCATGGGCGCGTCCACCTGTGAAGAGCCCTACCTCGCAGAGCGCATGCAGAGCGCAGGCAGCACGCGCGCATAAAACCCAACCCAATGTGTTGCCCTTGCGCTGCCGTTGAGACGAGAAGTGCTGAGAGCTAGTGTGGGCTAGCGTGTGCAAACATTGGAAGCTCCTGTATCTCCGGCCACTACGTGTGTCAGCGTGTGCCTTATTATGCAGTTCGTGCGCGTGACTTGCCAAAAAGTTCAAGCGCAAGCCAACGCGCCTCGAAGTAACGCGTTGTAGTGACAAAAGGGCGGCATGTGTTTGTCCCCTGCCTTGGCCCAGTTGTTTGTTTGGGGGCAGGTTGACAGTTTGTCGTGGGCTTCCCTTGTGTTCTTTGTTCTTGAACGCAGCTCATGGCAGCGACTTCTCCTGGAGCAATCGGCCAGATAGGGAGAAGGCTTTGAAGACAGCGGCAACTCCGCCAAGCCCTGCCAAGTCAGTTTCCCGACCCCAACCATGGAGCTGCCGTGGAAAATGTGCATTTTGTGTTCATGGGGCAACTTTGACGTTTTCAAAAATTTCTGGGGGGGCAACTCATTCACACCAAGCAAGTTGGGTTAGCCCGGCAGTTCTTGATTTGTTTGGGGCGCGGCAATCCCACGGCGAAGAAGCAGTGCAACGCATTCTTCTTCCAAGACATCGCCGTCCCGATTCATGAGCAGCTCTTCACAATTGTTGCAACTGGGGCTGTGCACTCTCAGCCCTCAGGAGACAGAAGTTGCAAGAGGCTGCCGTGATAATCTTGAGAATTGCTGGCCGCACGCGCTTGCTTCTTGGCACAGTGCCAGACAGGCTGCCTGCGCGCGAGTCTGACGAAGCTTTTTGCAGTGCTCTTGCGTTTGTTCAGCGTTTCCGCGCAAAAGTCACGTGGCTCGCGTCCGACACCCCAGCGCAAAACTCTCGGGATGACCTCATGCCCGCTGTGTGTTGAACTGTTGTGTAGCAACCCTCTCAGAAATGCCTTGTGTAGGGCTTGCTGCGCGTTGCAAAGCGCAGAGTGACATGATACCGTTGTGTGCTTGTGACTCGGAGTGTTAGCCGCAATAGAGAAACCGGTAAGATGATTGGGTGGTCAGATTGGCATGTTCAGAGCTTTGTGTTGGTTCCACACACTTGGGCGCGATGGAATTTTTTTTTTTTTGTTGCGTCAGAGTCAAATTTAGACGCGCGCGTGTGACGAGAGGGCAAGTTGCGTTGCGGATATTTGCGGGTCTGGGCGTTTCTGGCGAAATGCTTCAGCGCTCCAAGAGGACTTTCCTTGGTGCTCCTGGGGCGCCTCTGCTGAATGAGTTGTTTGGCGCAATGGACGCGGAGCGGAGTTGGGCACATCTCTGCTGTGCGCCGACAGCATGCGGATTTTTGGCGCTTGTCTTGGTGGCGTGTGGCGGAGAGCCCAGGCACTGCGATTTGGCGAGCCAGCTGGGTAAAGAGGTCTGTGTCCTGAATGGCATGAACAGCCCTGGGAGTCGGATTGGACCGCAACCAGGCGTATTAATTGACGACAAGTTCCGCCGCATTCTCGGAAGCTTTGGTTTGTTTTGTTTTGTTTGTTTGTGGCAAAGGGCATGGTAATTGCGGCTTACGCAGGAAAAGACGCGCGGCCCGCCGAAGCTATGCTGAGCCACAAGACCAGTTTGCCAACCTTTCACCCACATGTTCAGCGCAGCCGGTTTTCAGCTGCTCTCAGCCGATGTAGTTGGATCTTGGGGCTACAGATGATGTGTCCTTGCACAGGGCATCCCACCAAACAGGAAGCGTGATTGCAGCAACGGTGGTTCCGTTTAGCTGAGATTTGTTGCCGTCAGCGTCAGCCGGCAGCATGCTTGAGTCCCACGCAGTCGGATCGACTCTTTGGTGCCTGCTTGCACATTGTTTCTTTTGGGGATTGTTCCAAGTAATCACATGTTTGCCTTTGGCCAAAAAAACGGGCGCCCCACTGGCTGCGAAGGTACCACAACCACACTGTGCCCTACTTCCAGTCGAGTCAGGTCGGGGAGTTCACGAAGGGTTTCGACTTCTCCCATGATGGCGTGAGGTTCCAGGCAGGCCCGCAAAATTCGATCGAAGCAACCTCGCCGCCTGAAAACCAGCAGAGCCTCCGATCCCAAAACGTTTTTCTGGAGCCGACTGTCTCAACAACTATTTCATGGTCTTAACATTTTTCGTGTGGCCCCCCCATGCTAAGGGGGAACCCAACGACGTTCTTCAAACAGCAGTGGTTTCAACTTGTTAAGGCTTGAGTCGCGTGACTCCAGGTGGTGGGGTGTTTGAGGACGGGGGGGGGAGGGTGGGGCTGGGTTGTCCAGATTTTTTGTAAGCCCACGGTCCTCAACAGATGGCTCAACTTTGCAAAGGGCTTGTGTTTTTTGAGTTGGGGCCCTTTGTTCAAATACCCCTTAGTTAGTGCTTGGTGGTGGTTGGGGTTTGAACCCAGCTCCTTTTGAAAGCTCCTTTTGACGCCAAGTCCCGACGTCCAAGCACCAAACCAAACCATCAATTGGTGACAAGGGGTTTTTTGCGCTGCGTTGAAAAGGGAAGCCCACGGGAAACCCGCCATATAAAGTTTGGGCCCCAGTTTGACACACACCAGGTACGGATTGCTTCCAGCACTGACTGGCCAAGGCCAGAAATGGACAAAGTTTCACCACATAGATTTCTTGGTGCGCCCGTGTGTCCCTGAATCGGCAGGTCTGGGTGATGTTCTTGATTGGACCCCCCCGCCACAGTCTGGCGGTGTTTCTTGGCAATTTGCTTTGGTGCTACAGCGTCACATTGGACGTAGCTCATCTTCTGTTACCACGCGTTCGTGAGAAGCTGCACGGCAACATATGGGTTGTCTCAAAAAAAGGACCCTTCCCGGCAGTTGGTTCCCTTATGCCACAGGCTCCGTTGTTCAAAATGTTTCGACATGATTCGCTTCTTTTCGTTTTTTTGTATTGCAAGATGTTTCTAGGTATCCTCTTTGTCAGCTGACCCCGCCCCCCTGCCATTTCCCTTCGCAATTCCGGGCATTCGGCCGAATCCGTTTTCAGGGGGCTCCTTACAAGATACACTTTGCGCATTTGAAGATGGCTTTTTCCACCAAAATTAAGGGGGAAACCACCATGTACAAGGCAATGTTCGGGTTTGTACAAATGTACGGATCCCTGGTTTTGGTCGCATCGTCGCAGGACGGCTTACGGGGTGGCGGGTCAGAGTACCGAGATCTTCTACGAGGGCCCGGAGATCGAGCGGAAGGTGCTGGAGCGATTGCACGCGCTGCCCTTTGAGGACGGCATCTTGGCCCGGGGTTGCAAGAAACCAAAGCAAGGTGCCCCAGTGTCCTTAATCCACCCAGCTTTTGGGGGGAGGGTTCCCCCTACTAAAATAGAAAAAACAGAAAAAAAATGGTTGGTACCCAAAATTCTAACCTCTCCACTGGAGGGCCTGGAAAAGGACCACCACTACTTTGGGCTTTTCATCTAGCGATTTCCGGTGGTTGTATATCCCACACCTCAGGGGGGGGTGGTTGGGGGGCGTGGGAGCCAGCCAGCCCTATTTGATGTTTGATCCGGTGTAACCCGTGAAAACCCCGGATCAAAGTGCCCGACCCGAAATAATTACCAACAAAAAGGCAAGGGAATGCACCAACCATAGTTTGGGAGTTTTGGGTCGCAACCTCACCTCCCTCGAAATGACGTGTGGGAGGAAGCGTACTGCTAGGCACGGATGCCAGTGCTTCTGAAGAAAAGTCATCTGTTTGATTCCAGTAGGTTAGCGCGTGGGCCTGGTGCGTTTCGTTGGAACCTCTGGACTCATAGAGGCTGTCTACTGTTCTTTGGCTGCATTTTGCTTGGATGTCGGACTTTTTTTTTTTGCAACTAATGGGTTTTCCCAATCCTTAAACCACTAAAAGTTAAAACTTTTGGCAGGGAAGCAGAAAGCAACCAAGTGTTGATGGACAGTCGGTACGTGGCTTTTGCCCCAACATTCACAGGGAATCGTCCATATTCGTCCATCCCAACTGGTGCCTGCGGAAACTTGTCGTCAGTTTGCGGAAAAGACCAGTCTAGGGGCAAGCAGGCTGAAGATGCTGGAGGGTGAAAAAGCTGAAAAGCATTTTTTGGGGCGTCACCCCCAAAAAAGAAACAGCCCCAAAGGTCCAACGGAGCACCATTGCCAGGTTTTTGTTGGAAAGAAAGCCGAGCCGAGGCCTGCCGGGAGAAGTACCGGCCCCAGCAAGTTATCTTTGGACGAGGCGTTCTGGTTGGTGTTTTGTTGTTGTTGGTCGGATCCCTGCTGAGTTGGGGCCGGGGGGGGGGCCCTCGTAGGTGGCCTTGTGATCGGTGGGTTTGGGACTGGCAGTCAACGGGTCCCCCTGGTTTAGATGGATTGGGGCCAATCATGTACCAGGGAAAAAGCCATCCGTTTTTGTTTTTTTCTTTTTAGCAACAGGTCACCTGACCCCAATGCAGCCCCCAGCCTCCGAAGCCAGACCCGTTCCCCCGCCCCCGAGTCGCTTTCAAAGAAATCGCCGGTACGGCCAAGGGGAAAGAGTCGCCGAGTTGCCGAAGGTCGTGTGTTCGAGCCGTCACTCCTGGACTAGAGCTGAGATGCTTCAGCTCGTGCATGGCTTGCCCCATGGCTTGCCCATTGGGAAATCCCAAATAGGGTCAGGGAAGCCTTTTTCGCCAATTCACTCAGGAAGCGGTGGTGGAGGGGGGGAGCGGACATCGTGGTTGTCTTGTTGGTTTCGCCTTAAACCAAGCACCTGCATGTATGGAAACAGATGCATAAAGATGTGCATATACATGTGTCAACAAATCTGAATACGTAAGCGCATGTATGTACATACAGCTGCAGGTGCATATCTACAGCCATGTATGCATTGTATGAAAGTACTATATACATATACACATGCATATACGCATACTTACGTACGTACGTACGTACATACGTACATACATACATACATACATACATACATACATACATACATACATACGTACATACCTACCTACCTACCTACGTACGTACGTACGTTACGTATGTATGTAGCCGTCGGTTTGTTTGGACTGATTGGCAGGCGGCGCTGCTGCGCGACTTTTTGCGGCCCTACTTTGGGCAGCGGAGCGCCACGGTGAAGGCCAACGATGTGCTGGAGATCCAGGGGGTGAAGTTCAAGGCGAGATTTGGCCCAAGCACTTGGCCGGATATCCCCTGCTGCTTTCAGGGAGGGTTCCAAATAAGCTTGGAGTAGTTTGCCCAAAAGCTGCAATGCCCAAATATTTCCCCTTTGCCACTTCCACTTCCTCCAACCTACAGTGGATGGACGAAATCATGAAAACCACTTCGAAACCATAACGCTTGGGAAGCATATCATTCCAGGGGTTCTGAGGTGCCGGATTTCGTCCTGACGGTGGTCGTTTCCCCCCCAAGAGCTGCAATGCCCAAATAAGCATTGGGGTGGTTTGGGGCAGCTTTCAGGAGGCTTCCGAAGATTCAGTTGCTGTGGGGTTCCGGGGCTGTTGGGGATACCCCCAGGCTTATGAATTCAGGCGGTCCAGAAGTTCTTGTAGAGGGTAAATGGGGAACCCCTCCTTACCCACGAAACCACCGATTCGGCTCCAAGCGCAGCAAAACCGGAAAAAGCTGAACTTGGGTGTGTTTTCCTTTGGGAGTGACCCCCAAAGGCCACCTGAAACCTTGATTGCTGTTGGGTTGGATCTTTAGACTTTAACTTTTTGCGAAGTCAAGCGTTTTCCATGGAACCCACAAAAAGTGAGAAACTTTTTGCAGAGGGGTCGTTGCAGCAACCAAGAAGCTGCAGGCCCGAAATGCCAAGTGTCCACTTTGGCCGTGCTTGGGGAGCCGGGAACCGGTCGCTCGCTGGCGCTCGCTTGAGGTGATCTCCACGCGGCCCACGGAGGGCGGAGGGGTGGGGAAGGACACGGAGCTGGTGTGTCAGGGCGTGGCGCTCAGGGAGAGCTTTCAGCCTGCGGCGCGGAGCAAGGCCAAGGCGAGCTGGCAGCGGTGGGGGGGGAGCTTGGCTTTTTTTTTTTTTTTTGTGTTGGTGGCTTGGCAAGTGAGTTGTTGCCACCATACCGAGGCGATGCTCGTTTGTTTGGGGGGCTCGAGAGGAGCAGAGATCTGGTGGCTCAAAAACATGGAGCCCAAAATGACACCGTGGCAATGGAACCCAAGACTAAAACCTGCGTAACCCCGGCTCTTTAATTTTGAGCCACACGCATCTACAGATCTTGCGGATTGGGGCAGCTTTGCGTGGGAATAAGGCCAGACAAGGGAAGAAAACTGGTTTGTGACCATGTGGGGGCAGGTGGAAGGTTCTGGATGTTCAACCTTCATGAACAAGTGGGCTACCCTCTGTCCAATCATGGAAGGGTGTGCGTGTGTGTGTGTGTGTGTGTGTGTGTGTGTGTGTGGGTGTGTGTGTGCTTTTTCTTAGGCCTGACCCCCCCCCCTCAAAAAAACAAGGTGGTTTTCCTGTTGGTGTCCACCGGTAAAACCCATCCAAAAATGGGGGGTCCTGGAGGAAAGAAAAGACTTTCCACAAACCATCCAAAAAAATGTGGGTCCTGGGGGAAAAAAGACTCACAAACCATCAACAATGGGGTCCTGGAAAAGGCTTCTTCACAATTGGGGGGTTTATTGTGGTTTACTTTCTGCTCCCTTTAATCCCACGCAACTTATGGGGGTGCCAACTCCAAGAAACGACAGACCCAAGTCAACCTTCGTCGGCCAGGCGGCCGCTAAGCCGGGCGCCAAGCCGGCGGCCAAGGCGGCGGCGGCGGCGGCTTTCGTCGGATGGCCAGTGCCGGGTGATGTGACCGGAAGGAGCGGCGAAAAAAGCTTAAGCTTGCGATCGGTGCGGATGGGGAGGGAACATCGGCGTCCTTTTTAGTGGTTTTTGCTGGTCAGAAACAAACTAAACACACGTGTTTGGTTAGATGGCCGTTTTTTTGGTGATTTTTTTTTTGGTTTGTGGGTTAGTAATACACATGGCCCTTGTTTAGACTGGAGGTTCCAGGGCCATCTATATTTGAGCAAAGGACACCTATGCTGGGGAACGACGTTCCGAGCTTCCGGGTGGTTGATATGAACCGCGTTTTGTTTGGATTTTTCCCAAGGGAACCAACTCGGGGATGGTTTATAGCAGGGTCATGAGCCATTTTCTCATTCCCCGCCTATCAAACCAGCAAGACAAAAAATGGCGGCGGCGCAAAGCCACGTGCCGTTTCGCCCGGTGAAGGGGGCGGGAGCCGTGCGCGCTTTTGCCGAAGGAGAGTCACGTTTGAAGCGCTTCAAACGGAAGCTAAAGCTTCCATATGTTCGAAACCGCTCGGAGTCAGGCAAGGGCGGAACTCAATTTTTCTCCGCAGCCGGTTTTGCCCTGGATCTATGTTGTATCTTCCGTTTGGAAGATACCTGGACCCTCAAACTGAAACTAGCCATAATAATTTTCCCAACCCAAAGGAAGAGAAAACACCCACCCGTACCCCAACGACCCAAAGAGCACGCCTCCCCCGCCAATCCTCCCCAGCCCGCTTTTTCCCGAGCAGCTGAAATTTATGATAGGTCTCTCGGATAGGCTCCGGGGTGGTTAGCAGATTTCAATCAAGGTTCCGGAGGGAAAGAGGGGCTTCCGATTTCCATTTGGGCTTGATCAAAAAGGCCTGCACGTGGGATGACCATTGGGGAAACCAAACCTCAACAAATGCACTAAATGGGAACAGATGCCTATGGTCATTTGGGGGTGTTCCTTAATGGAATATTGCTCAACCCCCCAATTTTGCGGTTGAGCATTTGTGGAGTGTGCAATGCCACCTTTTTTCCCCTCCCCGACCCGACTGTCCTCCCCAGATTTTTTGCGCCTGGCTCCTTCGGCTTAGGTCGCTGAACAAGTTCATGGCCTTCGAGAACCGGGACCCCTTCCAAGCGAAGCAGAGACCAACCCTGCGCCATGCGAGCCATGCGATCCATGTTCCATGCGCCAGCGAGCCATTCGCGCCGGTTTGGGCCACTGGTTCGGCCCAAATGTTGCGATCACCGGTACCGGCCACAGCTAGAGCCCCGGCCGGCTATGCCTTGCGCTCGCTAAAAAGAGACAGACAGGCTCAAACCCATTCTGGGACTAGCCCCAAAACTTGCGACCAGGCAGAACCCGACGGCTTAAAACCCGGCAACTGCAAGCGAAGAAAGGAAATGTCACCACAAGAGGGGGAAAGGGCAAGGAAGCCACAAATCCTCGAGGAAAAGGGAAAGGATCGTGTACCTGACAGCTTCAAAAATCCGGATGTTCGTGTGCAGTGTGGTTGAGCCGGACTCGGGAGCCAGGGATATCCATGTTTTGCCTTGCAGGGAAGGGTTCGGGAGCTGCATACCGATCGGAGGATTGCAAAGACATGGTAACAGACCAAAGTCTTATTTCGCCTTTAATGGATTCCATGCATTTTGCCTTTCAACCAGGCAAATAATGAACACTTGTTGCAGGGTCTAAGCCTGGTCAAGGAGATGCGTGCGATTTTGGCCTGCTTTCTTTTACACCAGTGGGGAAATTTTATGTTCAATGGTGTTTGCCTTCTTTGTCCATTTTTTTTTTCGGGGGGGGGGCCTGGGGGGAAAGGTTGCCAGGTTAGCCCTTACCCCTCGCAAAATTACCAAGGCTCCTCGCAAAAGGGGGCCCTGCCAAAACATGCAATCTCCCAAGACACGGAAGCTAGACGCACAGGCTTGCGCTTTGATTTCGGATCTTACCACCTTCAATCCGCCGAGCGACTCGTCTCGGCGAGTTCCTTCGCCAGGAGCAGATGGAAAATCCGAATTGCCGCCTGGCATAGATGGTGTGCAGATCAGTACCTCAGGCAAGCCCCCGCGCCGCGATCAGGTAGCAGCAAGGTGGCCCATGTTGCTAAAAGCGCGACCGGTAGCTGTAGCGGGGGGGTTGTTTTCAACAAGAGGAAATTGACCTTCCACAGGGTGATTTAGTGGGAAGAAGGGTAAGGGCCCAAATTACAGCAGAATGGGGTTGTGGGGCAGCATTAAGACACTTCAGATTCTGTCGTCAGCATCAAGAAAACTTTGGTGCATGTTGCTTGGCTGTTAGGACTAACTTTTTGCCAACTAATTGGTTTTCCACTAAACCACTAAAAGTTTAGTCACTTTGTATTAGGGGAGCAGAAAGCAACCGAGTAAAAGCATGTATTTTCAGTTCTTGGCCAGGTTGTTTGTCCCTTCGAAGGGGTTTCCTCGTTTGAGAGAACGGGACATTTCTGCGCCTCTGGAGGTGGACCAAACACTTCTTCGTGTCTATCATAGAACAACCAAAACGTGCATATAGGCTGTGGGGTCGATCAAGTCCCCAGAAGACTTCGTCTCACCTTTCACTTGTTCCAGCCAGGAGCCATGTAACACCTCTATAGAGATGTAGCCATCGGACAAAAACTCTCCAACAGTGCAGATGCTGTTTTCAGGTGACGATGCGGGTGCTGTTTGGGATGTTGCTGGTGACGGCGCGGGGGCGCGCTTTCGTAACCAAGTCCGTTGGGTTTTCGGCGCTCGTGCTGCCCACGTCTTGACCCCCCCACCCGCCCTTATCTTGCATTTAGGGCCTGAACCTCGGTTTTTTGCACACAAACTTCCTGCGGCACAAAGAAAGCGCCCGCGAAAGCTAATTAACTTTAGACATCTTTAGGCCATGTTTGAGGCCATGAAGCTCCCATTTGGCTGCGTCTTTCTTTGAGCGTTCTTTGAGGGTACCCCGTGTCTTGTGGGTTTTACCAGGAAAAACAAAGAGGCACACCACTTTGTGTGTTTCCCCCATTTCTTTTGGAAGGAGGGAATGGGGTTTCTTGGGGATGCCATGCCCTCAAACTGGATGCAAGGTTAGCCATGGAGGAGGGTGAGGAGATGGACGAGGGCTAGGCGAAAGGGTGAGCTCAAGTCGCGTGCGCTAAGAAGGGAATTCAGCCAAAGGAAAGTCACCAACCCTAACTTTGGGTTGCAATAATTCCCATTTGTTCGGCTGGGAAACCCTGAAATAGTTGTTTTTGTTTTTGTTGCTGCGGGGGGGGGGGGGGGGGGGGGGGGCAAACAGGAACCCACTCTTTTTCAGGGTTCCCCGCTCAAAGGGCCCGTCGTCAACAAGACAAGTAGCAGCATATAGCTCGAGGAATCCCAAGAGCAAACAAATGAACATGTCAGCAGCCTCGCCCTAAACACGTTCCGCGACTCGTTCGTCTTTGTTTGTGGTTTGGCTTCTAAGGTGTGATCCTGCATGAGTTTTTTGTTTGTGTGTACGGGCACAGGCGTCAATTGTCACGGGGGCGGGGTCGTCGTCCAGTAGGCGAATCGAGAATTCGTTTCAGATGATTCTTGGTGGTTCCCGGCCATTCGGTTCATTTCGGTTCCTTAGGCTTCTAGCTGTTTTTTAGTGGTTGGATTTCAATCCTTAGTAAACACAAACGTTAAACTTTTAGCGGGCGGTATCTGAAACGGACAGCCCAGATAACAGTGTTCTCCAGGTGAAAGCTGTGCGGCACTCTGGAGTGGTTTTAGGGTGGCTGGGTTTCCGGAAAGGTTCGGGGGCTGTTGACAAGTTGCGCCCGGACGTTTTTGGGTTTGGTGTTGCTGCATGGTCTCTACCAGCATTGGCCCAAGAGTGTGAAGGAGAGGGCAATGTTTCCAGGAACTGACCATCAGCCCCTTTTCCCGGAGGTTAAATGCAGCCGACTGAGTTGGTGCAAAGCCGACTGGTGGCGTTTCCTAGGGCTCAATCACGAGCTACTCTAAGACCCCGTATCTTCGGCAAAGTTAAGTTGTTAGTTGTAACCCACTAAGCCCCCCAAGCTTGTTATAAGGGGCTTGAACCCCAAGTGGCTGACCATCTGCTAACTGGGCGCATCGGACATCCAAGCAGAAAGGGCAGGCACGCTTTAGTCCAAGGACTTGTTTTGTGCCCAGAGGCTCCCGATGGATTTCGGGCCCTCCCGGCCAGGTTGCAAGACCCAAACAGCGTCCGGGGGGGGGGGGGGGGGGGGGGGGGGGGGGGTCTGGGGGGGGGGGGGGAAAGGGGGGGGGGGGGCGTGTGGGGGGGGGGGTTTGGAGCTGGCGTGGGGGGTTTTGAGCGGGGGCACATGCGCTGGCACACCATTCCCCCTTCAGGCTCTGAGCCGGCCCTTGGCAGTCACCCGAGCCCATTGG